TTACCCTTTCTTGGGTAGGATCTAGTTTCGTTGCTCGAGGGAGTGCCACACTCGCTCGTACGAGTGGCGGATCGGAACAATGTTTGACCTCCTCTCCCTTTGGGTTTGAAGCTCTAGAAGGAAGTACCTTCCTCCCTTTCCTCTTAGCCATCACTTGCAACATGTCAGCGGACATGAGCACATGAACGATTGGAGACGTCTGCTGGTGGCTTTTTGAAAACGAACTGCAATCGGCCTGTTCATCATTTCAAGGTAAAACTTCTTCTAATCAGGCAATATTTATAATTTATCTTGAAAATTGCTATAAGTACAGTAGTGCTCAAAATGGCCGGAAATTGTTTGATGCATAGGCAGAATAAGTAGGACAGGGGGCGGCTTCTTATTAATTAAGCTACTTGTCGTTTGAAATTTGTTTTTATGCTATTTTAACTTGGAGTTGTCCAAACAAGCACGTTGCAAAAAAAAAAATATTTTACAGTCTTGTATGTTGAACTACACAAGAAAAAAACGTTTTTGAAGCGAACACTGATTTCATTACTACAATACTGACTATATATAATATGACAAAATGCTGAGTTCAAGCTTTCCGCCAGAAAGATCTCAAGAACAGAACTTCGAATTTACAGCGCGAATGAAATGAGCAATGATATCTCTTCGTAAATGTAACAACGTATGTTACCGGGCTTTAATTAGCTAATGTATCCGTATTTATGGCCCCAATAAACGTGAGCGAATAGGTGCTGTAAACGTTTTTGTTTTTTGACCGGCCAGGGACATGGCACTCTGAGAGCCAATCACTGCAATTTACGGCACCGCTCAACTAATGAGGATGCCGAACATTTGGTTAGACCCAAAGATGCTGTCTGCGACATCAGGGAATGCAAAACGTCCCGCTTGCTTTGCTTAATGTAACAGCGCAGATTGCATTTCTTGGTCTAAACGTATGTTCCGCGTCGTCATTCGCTGAGAGGACTTCGCAGGTTGCAACGATTGGCTCTCGGAGTGTTGTGCGGAAATCGACAGGCACGAACTTTTTGTGCATTTTGTGTTTGCACAAATGTGGATGTATGTTTGATAAAAATAACTGTTATATTTGGTCCTATATTCAGTGCTGCAACTATTATGTAAATAGCTTACATGCGTAAACGGCGCATCAACGTAACAAATTGTTTTTGTTTTAGGGATTCGTTGATACTCACAAATGTGAAGACGCCGTGAGTGCTCGCCGTCATGTTTTGCTCATGAACGAAGAGATAACTAAAGCGCCCCTGAACGTCGACTTGATACAAGACCGCATGATGCGGACGTTTCAGTCTTGCCAAGAATGGATCCTCAGCGATGCTGGAGCCCTCACAGTCCTTGAGGAATTTCCGGCAATGACGATTCCCGGAATGGTAACTCAATATTATCTTCTTTATATTTAGTCTTAAAGTTTCGAGATTTTTACAGATCATCAGGACTTCAAAAGTTTCTTACTACCCGTTTTATCGCCTGTGAATGAGATAAGGGCTTTTGATACGTGCTAAATTAAATAATTTTACCTCGTAATAAGGCTAGGCAATCAATTAGTTAACATTCCGATTAATTAACTATTGTTTTACTCTGAATCAAGTGAGTTTAACAGGCATATTGGTTGGATTTAGAGTTACGAAAAGTCTTATAAACAAAAAAGTAAAAAGAATATTCATTTAATTCTTTTTTTGTGTTTATAACACAATTGTGTCTCATGGCTACTTAAGTGTTTTATACGATTATTATCTAGAGTGGTTTTGAAGTTTAAATAATAACGTACAAATATTTTATTTTAAATGTTTTCCATGCTTTTCTTGTGTATGAGCACAACGGCAAGTTGATATTTGAACTTGTTATTGTACAAATATGTACATATATTTTATTTTAAATGTTAGCCATGCCTTACTTCTGTATGAGGCACAATGACAAGTTGTTATGTACTAAGCCTTATAAGACGTAGTAAAAACTTGTCAAAGAAAAAATCGGTTGTTCTAGGCCTTTTCTGGACACAATATCTTTCCTCGAGATCAGCGCGACCTATAAATTGATTAACTAGTCAATATAAAAGAAAACGTAAATCGAAATTATTTTAATTGACGCCAAGCCCTACTCCACTATAGTGACAGTAAGTGGTCATTTAGTTAATATATATATATATATATATATATATATATATATATATATATATATATATATATATATATATATGTGTGTGTGTGTGTGTGTGTGTGTGTGTGTGTGTGTGTAAACAATCATTGTGTACAAATTCATAGCGCATAAATGTACTTTTGTAAACCAGCAACACTGTCCAATCGTTGTTTATTTTTCAGTTACTACAAGACGTTAAACTGCCGTTCGGCAAAGACATCCGGAGGACATGGGAGCCAAGATTGAGGCATTTACAGCTTCTACACAGGTGCTCCTCAAAGGAAAAGAACGTCACTCTGAACCTCGAAGAGCTGCTTGAAGGTATACTTTAGTTGGTGTTTTTGTAATCTAGCACAAGTTTCAGACTGCGACGACGCAGAGGTTTACCTTCGTCCACCATAAATATGCTGGGTTAACTTACTACATCATTACGAACTGATGACCGCTTATCGGGGCCATTCGCTTAAGACAGGGTTAACTTATACTCAGAAACAACTTCTGTGGCGTTTCTGAAGTGAAGAGTGCGTGTGCATAGCCTTGATTGCTTAAGATGCGCGGGCGTTTTTAACTTCGACTACACATTGCCAAAAAAGTTGCCCAAGTCACCCCCGAGTATAGTGCATTGTCACAGATGGTAATGCAAACTTGTCAGGGTTATATCTTCAATATACGAGCTAGTAATATAAAACATATCCTTGCTTTATTTTTTAAAAATAATATAGAGGAAATATAAGCGACTAAAGTCAATGACAGGTTAAGAAAAATCTAAAAGAAGAAAGCCGATGGACGCTTGAAATGGAGAGAAGGTTTCTCCTCTCCCCTACAAGCTTCTGTCCGCTTCCTCCTCTCCAGCTCGTAGATTTTTTCTTAACCTGTTACTGACTGTAGGGCAAGAAGGATTAAATATGGGTAGAACCAACGTTTCTAGAAACATGCTTAAAATTCCTGTGCATCTACTTCCCGCAGAACACTCGAGAAGCCAATCACACCAATCCACGAAGAGAGCTCGGCGAATAAAAAGGCCAAAGCATGTTTAGACATATGAATGAAGCGAGAGATGTCACTGAGCATGGCGGTTCACGTACTGACTTCATGCTCAGTGTCACGTTACAGACTTCATTTTTAAGTCAAACATATTTTCAGCTTCTCCATTGGCCGAGTTTTCTTCGTAGATTGCATTGATCGGCCCCTCGAGTGGACGCACGGGCATTTTTAAAAGCAGAGAAAATTCGGTGGCACGTTGGGCATTGTTTTACGTGTGTACTGCACATATGTTGTAATTCATTGACTTCCGATCTTCTTCCTTTACTACTTCTTGGATGGAAAGGGAACGCTTGATGCTGCGTACCATTTTTCGCTTTTACACATTGTTGTAGCGAAGGGGGCTTCGAAGGGGACGCTTCGTCATCCGCTGGTCGCGCTCTCTAGATCGCACTGATTGACCCACTAAATGTTTTGAAGGAAATCATATCTGCGGGTATGTTTTAGAGCGTAAGGCTAAACGAGAAATAAAATGCTTAGTGAAACCTATACAATTATAATTGATCTAAAAGCGCGGCGAATGAGCAACTCGCAGCATAATAATACAGAGGAAAATACATGTGTTCATATTCTTGCTTTCTTGTTGTAGGAAGTCCGGACACTGATGCCACTCATCCATCTCCAGGAAAATGAATTTGACAACTTTTTGGACGGTGTCCTGACAGTGAGCGACATCAGAACGACAGTAGAAGCTGTGTGCACATTGCTGGCAGTGATACCCGTCTCGTCTTGAAACTGTTTCGAATTTTGTTAGCTTTTTTTACTGCGAACAGAAGAATCAATTTTTGCTACTCCAATAAAGTATATGATTGGACATGATGTTTACTGTTCTGTCTGTCACCTAGTTAATTACGTACAGGAATGAAGTGTGTTGACTCTGGCCAGACTGATGTTTGTCAACCTGTCGAAAAGGCCCAGTGCTAGCGATTAATGAACAATCTAAAGACACTTTGGTTGGTAGAAAAAAATGCACCTTGTAAAGCAAGAAATACGAAATACGATTTACTAAAAACTAACTAGGAATGTAAAAAAAACTCATTTGTCATAAGAGAGGGTTAGAAGTACAAAATATGGTTTACTAAAATAACACCAACATAATCTAAAGAACTCGGGATTTATTAAAAGAACCAAGGAGGGTTCCAAATAAAACATGAAATAGGGTCCAAGAAAAACCAAAGAAGGAACCGTAAAGAACCTCGAAATAAGGTTCATTAAGAGCACGAAAAAGGGTTCTGGAGAGAACCCAAATGGGGTTCAATAAGAGGAACCAATAAAGGATACGAAAAGAACCCTGAAATAGGGTTTATTTAGAGCACCAGAAACGGTTCTGGAAAGAACCTGAAATAGGGTTCATTAAGAGCACCAGAAACGGTTCTAGAAAGAACCCGAAATGGGGTTCATCAAGAGCACCAAAAAGGGTTCGGGAAAGAACCCGAAATAGGGTTGATTAGGAAGAACCAAAAAAGGATCCTAGAAGAACCCCTAAATAGGGTTCGTTAAATAGAACCCAGAAGCGTTCTGATAAGAATCAAGAATAGGGTTCATTAAGAAGAACCAATAAACGATCCGAAAAGAACCCCGAAATAGGGTTCATTAGAAAGAACCCTTTTTGTGGGTTCTTTTCTGCACCTTTAAGGGTGCCGCCCATTGGACAAGCGAAAGAACCCTAAAAGGTGCTAGTTGGCACGCTTTTTTCTTAGAGTGTAGGAAAGATAGTTGAGAGCTTACCTCCTCTCCAGCAAAAGCAGATGTGACAGTGCCATGGTTTCCTTGACATTGTAAACCACGATCATCGTATAGCCGCTACTGCCAAGATGTCTGAAAAATAGTAGCACCGTTCCAGTATAAGATTAGTAGAAATTCTCTGCAGTTTTAATGCCCTTGGCGCCGTGGAGGGCGAGCCCTCCACGGCGCTTGCCCACATGATTTTGCAAGGTCCATCAAAGTTGGAGCTTCGGGTACAAAAGGAGTGTGGAGCTGGATATAGTGCTGTACAAGCATACTTCTTGTAAGCGTCTAAAGCGCACTGGCAGACTCTTGGCTCTAGCCGGTATCAGGGGCAGCAGAAGACGACCAAGACCACACTAATGTTCCGAGCATGCCTACTTACAGCGCCCGGCGAGTCGAAGGCACAGATTGGCGAGCATTTGTTGCAGTTAGTCCCATAACCACCTGTTGCTCAAAATTAAGGAGCTGGGTTCTAAGCAATGTTTCCTGCAATCACACAGGTGTAATTGCAGCCATTGCACAGCTGTGACAACCGCTCAAGGGTGCTTTTACTGCTGAGAGCTACTGCCACCGGCCGTGCACTAGTGCGCACCCTGTTCCACCGCTTCATGGCGGGTGTGTTAATGATGTGATGTTTTCGTTGCTTAATGATTCCATACTTTATAATTATAACTTCAGACGTTCCTTGCTTATCTACAATATTAAATAAAAAGTACCTTAATAAATAACTGGTGCAGCTCCCTGATTATAATATTCATTTTGCTTTAAAAAAGACACAGCGGGTCTGACCCATCGTAGTTGCTTCATGAGGCATCGCCAGTGCGTCGCAAGTCACGTGCATTCGGCATTATGTGACGCCACTGCAACACAAGCTGTTTCTGCCTTGTTCAATTAAAACTTAATGCACTTGTAACTTAATTCTCTCCTTATTGCCTAGGTTGCCCAAACCACCAATACAGGAATTCTAAGGATTCCTTTTATGTGAAGAAGCTGAAATGAAAGGTCATAAAATGTAACAAAAAAAAAGCTCCTTTATCGTCTTTTGCCCAGTACAAACTGACATGTCTAGCTAATTGCTTCAGAAGCTCAACGACGTCACAACGCACAAAATGAAGGCAACTGCATGGCAACTCTATGGGTAGTGGATTATTCTGTGCGTCTTGTTTTTCTGTATTATTGTTCTGTCGTGTTGGCATTCAATTTTGTTATCCTCTGCCTGCATTCCTCCAGGGCAATTTCTTGGCCACTGATACATATTATAGATTTTTGGAACCAATTAATTTGAAGGATATGAACCTCAGCTTTTCCAGTGGCACAGAGGCATTGCCAGAGCCTGTCCCACTCAAAAGATAATGAAAGCCCATCCCCCTCTCTGCTCTCTCCTCTCTCTCCTTCCCCCTAAGTCTTCCATTTTGCTGGGGCCTTCTCTCCCCCATCCCCCTCATACAGCATTTTGTCATGGGCACCGCCGAATCAAAATTTTGGCTACGTGCCTGGCTGGCACCCATTTTTTTGTTTGTTCATTACTATAGGATTCAACTGTAAGCACAGGGTTAATGCAGAGTAAGAAATAGCAGCATACTCTTGTTGGCTACTGCTGATGATTGGACCAGTTGGTAGACAATTATTAAAAAGAAATTGGGAAGAATATGGAAACAGCGCACACGGACACGACACAGCACTGGGTTCCTCTCCTCCTCCTTGTCTGTGCGACTCCTAATCTTTGTTTTTAATAATTCATTTTTATGATATTCTGCTTAATATCATCTGTATGGGAGTTCACTGTAACAACCCACCTGCCATTGCATTCACTTTGGGGGCAGCTCCCCCTTCCTTATGGTGCCAGCGTTGAAGGAGTGCAGGGTGGGTGTCACTCTGACTCTTGTGGTGCAGTTCCCCAGGTTCCCATAGCTTGCAAGCTGCCAGCCAAACTGCGTCAGGCCTGCCAGCCCTGCGGGGGATGCCAATTCCACTCTTTTAGACGTAGACACCCACATTTTGCGTTTACCTAAAAAAAAAGCTTTAACAGAGAGGAAACGCAATAATTGGCCCTTTTTGAATGCATCTTTTACTTTTGCTGGGAACATACATAAAAGTCACAAGCTATTGTACATTCAATGGTGCGGCTTGATTCATGATAAACATTTTTTTATATAACTTCGAGCATTTAGAAAAAATATACAACATAATGGGTCGGACATAAATTGTTCCGGTGAACTATCCTATAAATTTACACATTACCTGATCTCATGAAAGCAACACAGCAGGGAAGGCTGTACTGCGTGAATTAGAAATTTATAACCAACTAAAAGTTGGCATTTATCTCATTTATTACTATTGGCTATTATTTTTTGACAGAAAGAATAACTGGACGAGTCGGTACGTTGGTATACTCTTTTAACACCATCGAATATTCAGGATCTTTTCGCGTTTTTTTATACTTTTGCTTTTTCTAGCTGCTCTGCTTTTTGTAGCGGCTTTCGCTGCCACTTAAAAACGCGACATCCAAACTCACTTTATTTACATCACACAATCGTAAACTTCGAAGCGTGCCGCTTCGGCATACGCGAAGAGACCGCGCTTCTCTGCAGCACAGGTATCAGCATAGGCAAGAAATCATGCTGCTCGCTCTTGTAACGTTTTTTCTCGCTCCCGCTTTACGAAACGAATCGGTGGCGAGTGGCTGTTGAGACCACACGGCAGAACTAGCATCACCTGTGATTACTTGAACTGCCGTCAGACTGCACTTGAACGCTCCGTAAAAGGGTCGTCGGACGAACGTCGTAGAACGGCGCCCAGAGCAGCCTCTCGGCTCCGCCGCACACGAATCTTTCGTCGCACACGAATCTTTCTCGCTCTGCGGAGCGAGCCACAGGTTTTGAAGAACGTACGCTCTTTTCAAATAACGAAATAACACCGGCCAGAAGCATTGTTAGAATCAAGCATAGCTTAGCAAGCACATGGTACTACACGTACACGACACAGTTTGAAACAGCGACGCACTTCGCAGAAACAAAATAGCTCACCGGCGCTTGCAGCAGTGTTGATGGACTGTCCGCAACTTGCGTTGGTAAGAGGCAGCTTCTCCCAGCTCTCAGTCGTCGCTTGCTATTCTTGAACACGGTATTCGTAAGAAACATATCTAAAATATCTCCTAAAGCGGCTAAAACGTAAAAAGGAAGCGATTCTCGAAGCCTGCGTAACGGCCAGTGCCAACGGCATAGAGATCGTACATACTAACTCTAGAGGAAAAGGTCCGCCATCTTCCCATGCATTCTGGCTGCCGCAAGCGGCGGAGCATGCAGGCAGACCTTCTGGGTCCCACAGATGGTTACCAACTAGCCTCACCCGCTAGATTTCACGGTCTTCCTAAAAATCATAGCAACATTGTTTGTTGTCACTATGGAGACGTTCCCTCCGCTGCTCCGCTGCGATGAGCTTTAGCTGTTGCTGCCGCGAGTTTTTCTCTGGTAATACAAATGATTTGTCACTTTAAAGTTGCTTGCTAGCTATGGTCTATGGAAAAGTTATATTGCGTCTTTTGCTTTGTATGGTTCGTTCCATGAAGCGCCGCACAACGAGTAAACGTTTGCCTATCGGACCACGTATCAGCCTCGATCACCGGCATTTTGGGCAATCGGCGGTTGCGTCAGGTTGGTTTCTTACATATAGATCTATTAGGTCTGTTTGATTCGGCCAGAAAGTTCAAAATTAGTTCACTCCGAGCTCAGAAAAGCGTAAGTGTCATGCAATCCGCCTATGCACGACTCCTACACTCGTCCGACTGAACTCTTAGTCCGAACGTGCTGCCGAATCGAACGAACCGATTATAATAATGCCTATATAGTTTTTTACCGTCTCTAAAATGCGTTGGGTGGTGCGTTGGATGGTCCGGCGGGCGCACCTCGAAAGAAATCTGCGAATCGCGTTCCATTTGTTTACTTCCAAGTCAAATGATATGCAAAACAGCACAAAAACAATCCGCAACACGGAAACGAGACACTGAAATAAAACAGGTTCCGCTATTCGAACACAAGGAAAGCTAAAAATATTTTTGTACTAAAAAAAAAAAAAAAAAGGTTTTATTACACTTATATATAATTAGAGTAAGTACACATCATTTGAACGTTCATTGGGAAGTCCACAGTGAACCGACGTTGACAAAACCACCTAAAGGCAACTGAAAAAAAAAACAAAAAAAAACAATTTGAACCTTATAACATATGTTATAACGTAAAACATAATGCCGATTTTGTAGTATAGTGCTATCTGTGTATCATCGCACAATGACACAAATAAAATGCAGGAGGTACAAGTTCTACACTAGTCCTTTAAAAGTTATGTTGCAAACAGATACGTGATTACAAACGCACTGAAACTACTAAAAAAAAAAGTTGTTACCGTCTGCACCATTTGCTACAACATAAATATGTACACAACACGACGCTAAGAATATGAAATAGTGCAAAAAAAAGACAGGGACTTGAAGTAGGCAGGACAACTATGATAAACTAACTAGCTCAGGAATTGACTTTTAATAGCGCAATGCCATCCTTCTGGGCTTCTTTCCTCACTGATTCTTAAACAAAATCTGCTTTGTCAACTGCGCTCGGACATAAGCCCCCCTGTTCTTTTCGGTGAGCCTTTTGCATAGCTCTCGAAGTCTAAGGGTCATGTACTCCTTTAGGATCAGCCTGGTCAGCGTGATCACATGTTGGGGACTGTCCTTATAGTGTCCTGTCTGTGACATGCTCCCCTGATGCTTCACAACGAAGCTCTGGAAAGCGTTGAGAACAAGGCGCTGTACTGTAGCCTTTTGTGGTTCCTTAGTTTCATGCCTGAATGTTGACTCTGCACAGTTCAGGGCATGACGTACAAACAAAGATGGCATGATCAAGCCTCCATTGTTTCTTATGAAAACGAGAAGGCTTGTCACATGATCATCAACAAGGATGTCAAGGCATTCTGAGCATGTCACCTTCTTCGACACAACCCGCACAATAAATCCGCCTACATACTGGACAATCTCGGCACTGAATTCGGTTAAACCGTGGGTTGCACCAAGGTAGTCGTGGTCAGCAAAGCTAAAAAATGTGTCCAGTTGCAGCGGGTCTATCTCTTCTGCCTCATCATTTTCCTTCGACAGGTTGCCTTGGTGCCTCAATGCAGTGATTCCATCCATGTCAGGAGCAACATTTGCAGTTGTTGGTGCCTTCACATCTGCATGCACCAGCAGACAGCGATAAGCATGGCGGAACTGCACAGCAGAAGGGTTGTTGTTCCAGCCGCCGCGCTGTCTGATGCAGCTGAAGAACATCTCCAGGTGATCCTGACTGAGACGGTATGTGCAGATGTATCTGCATTTGGTAAATCACACGAAAAACGTTATGATATTTAAACTACCACAACAAATTAATCAAACAAGTTTCAGCTTTTACCTGCACATGTCCCTCTGAAACAGAGCATCTGCAAGCTCAGCGACGCTCTTCAGGGTGAATGCCATGCTTATAACAGACATGCGCCTCCCATCTTCAGCAACTGGTTTCCCTGATGGAAGCTGTAGGGACATCAACGTCTCAGACAAGGTGACCATCTTCTTATTTTGGCTCTCAAACAAGGTTTGTTTAAGTGGAGCCTTGAAGCCCATTGCCCTTGGGTTGTGGGAATTTAGCAGGTCAAATGCTCTAAAAAGAAGAAAACAGAATAGCATCAGTCATGATACCTGCAGTATATAAGGCAGAAGTGAATTGTACATTTGTAATTTTGAACCAGGTGAGATTTTTTTGCAGTCTCATTCCTCGTCCTGTTCTTTCCTTGTATCATTAGTCACGTGTGATACCCGGGTAAGAAATCATGTGCAGTGAAACAAAAACTAGTGATGGACCGAATCTGCCAAACTTCAGATTCAGCAAAGTTCGGCAAATGCCGAACTTTTAAAGGAAAGTTCAGCAAAGATTCAGCAAAAATTTGGCAAACGTCTGCGCAGGCTCGAGAACGCGACGGGGTCATGGATTGCAAATGGACGCCATGCAGTCGTGCGGTTACCGTAGTGCTGTGTAGTACAACCAGCGGTTATGGCAAGTTGTAGAGTGGGCAACACGGTAACTGTGCGTTTGTGAGCGAGCCTGGTGCTTTTCAATATTTTCTGCCTCAAGAATGAAAGATTGACCTGTAACTTACGCAGTTCAATGCGCAGTCCACTACGCAAGTGACAAATGATGCGGTACATTCTGGATAACGTGATTTTCATTTGATCTTTCCTGGACCTTTCCAGTGATGCAACGAGGTAGTTAAAACATTGTCTGACATTTACTTTAAAGTGCTCCTCTCAATTATAACAGTTGTGTTTTCAGCTCAGTAGTGTGGCCCAAAAAAATAATATTGCTATTTCAATTAGCGTTATTTTGCAATTTTCATGTATCTGCATAAAACTAAACACAGAACTATCATGCTCGACGTTGCACATCTGACATTCCTAACTCTCCCTATCTTCCTAAACGTTTGTGTGTCTCCTAACACCAAAAACTGGCATTTTGAAAGTTAAAAACGAGACGTTGCAAATATGGGACACACACTTTCATGCAAAGTTGACGTCATGTGACTGAAATAAAAAAATATGCATATTTACTACAATATTATTATCTCTTCTGGTGAAGGCTCAACAACCGTTGCATTCGTCTTCGCACACAAAACAGTGACTCCCAGAGAAAGCAAGAACGCAGCATTATTGCCTTCATTTTAATAATGTGCACACACATGCAGGCTTGCGCTAATGATGGCTTAAAACCGAAACCCTCATAGCGATTCGCGACTGTGCCACGCTCGCTTCTACCCAACCTTGTTGTCATGCCGCTTCTGTAAGGAGTCACTAAAATTGCCACTAAGCACACAAAAACGGCAACAGTACAATTATCTTGTAGAATACCCTCTTATTTAGTAATAACTGTGTCAATATGCATTGCATGTTGCATTTAAGTTAAGAAAAAAAAACTTTTTTTTGCAAGACCAAAGTAAATATCAACAAAAAGTCTGGTAATAATGTATTTTTGCCGAATCTTTGCCGAATGTTTAAAAAAGTTTGGCAAATGTTCGGCTTTGCAAAATCCCAAGATTCGTCGCTGAACTTTCAGTTCGGCGAAAATTCGGCCCATCACTAATAAAAACTAAGGGTTCTCCTTTCCCTTCTTATAAATGTGCCTCTAGTTAACAAGAAGGGAAAAGGTAATTTTTAACGAAATCTCCCTTTGCCTCCTTAGCTACAGCCGCATTTGGAAAGGGGAACCGTTAGCTTTGACTGCGCTGCACACAACTTCTGACGTGGGGTATAGCTATACTTTTCTATAAACTTACTGGTCCACATCTGCTATGAACTTCGACGTTGCTTCACTGCCTCGGAATTCTTGGAGTTGCAGCTTTCGACCAAGTTCCAAGGCCTTGCTCACAGAAGAGCTGAGAGTCTGCGCTGCCAAGCGCACCTTCATAATTTGACGGTAGTATTCAACATGTGCTCTGCGGAGTTTATTTCCTGCCCGGAGACCCTCCATTTCCTGAAACCTCTGAAGGTCTTCAATGAAGCGCCACTGGATGAGCTGCAGTGATAAAAAGAAACAATGAGCCATGATACATATTATTTTATCATTACCTCCTTACCCCATACCTCGTGGTCAGGTATTTCTTATCCCCAAAGAGGTTTCTGAGGAGCTTCAAGCCATGGCACGCATCAAAGATGAGAAAGATTTTCTTGGATGGGTCCTTCGAATGAGGAAATGATGTTTTGAAGCTGTCCACGTCGGTCTCATGGATGAGGCAACCAAACAGCTTGCCCATCATTACATTTGATGACAGTGCATCGCATACAACAGCTACAACTTCAAGATTGCACTCTGTGAGCAGTAGAATCGCTTCAGTAATTATGCCCTAAGCACCTCACCAGAAAGTCCATTGTCTAAAAAATAGCCAATAGGGATCTTCCATGGAGCTGCAACTCCCACTGCCATGAGCACCAGAGCATCGGTTGCGGAGGGGGCGTCATCAGTATCGTCTGGGCTCTGGCCACCTCCGAAGTCAACATACCCAATAAGACGGCCGCTTTTGCTGTCGAGGTCAATTTTTTTTCTGATGCTCATTCCATCGAGCATGATGCTGCACAACCTCTCTCGTTCACTTGTGTTTTCATGGGTTTTCTTGAGGTGTTCAATGGCTTCGTGGGTAAATCCCGGCCAACCATCAACAACCTTGAGCCATGTTCGAAGTGTCTAAATGCTTGGCATTGGAAAGATGGTTGCCAAGTAAGCATACGCCTTTGGAGAGTGATAGTGCAGTGTTGAGGCAAACTTTCTCATCTTTTCACTATACCTTCTTCCAGAAGGGGTTCTCTTTTTATTTGCTTTCCAGGACTGTAGCAGCTCGTTGGGTAGCTCACCGAATGACTCAAGTTTCTGTTCCAGATCTTCCGACAGAAGATTCCTCTTCTTCAACTCAGTGATGACTGTCTTTAAGTCAACAAGTTTCTTGGTTGCTCTCTTCAGTCTTTTTGTGGTGGCATACAGTTTGCGCTTCGCAGTTCCAAGTCGCTCTTTGCAATTCTAAGTCCCGTCCTTGGTGTGATGCGGCACGAGTAACCATGCTCTGCAGCAGTTAGTATCTGTTGTCCACCTGGCCGTCTCTCTGAAGTTGCTGTTGCCTAAAAGTGAATGAATGAGGATCGCTTAAAGGAATGTTTCGCCGGTGTAGAGATAAAATACATACAAGTCGGCGCCTTTTGGACGGTGTTTCTGCTTCTGAAGTGTCGCTCTGGAAAGACGATCGAAGCATATGTTCTTGTCAGGTTACAGTGTTCAAGACTATGACAATCGAAACAAGCCCCGTTCTTACCCCCAAGATAGTTGATGGAGAAAGGGCACCAGATAAACCAGACGAACTCCGCGACAGATGTGGCCGGAGCGGCTGTTTTGATAGATCCGTGTTACAATTACTATAGTATGTCACACTTGTCTCATTCTTACCCCCACAGGAGTTGACCAAGGGGGGGTCCGGATTCCAGTTGAAGGAGAGGCAGTGTCTAGTGGTTGCTGTTAGACATGTGGTTTGAGAACGGTGTTTGTTACGACAAGAAAGCTTTGAACCTGCTCAATCTTACCCCTGTTGCTCGGGGCACAGCTTGGACTCCGGAGAACCCAGGCGAGCTCTGTGACCGATGTGGCCGGTACGGCTGTGTGATAGATTTGTGTTACAATGGCCGTAGTCTCTCTTGTCTCATTCTTACCCCCACAGGAGTTGACCAAGGTGTGGTCCGAGTTCCAGTTGAAGGAGAGGCAGTGTCTAGTGGTTGCTGTGAGACATGCAGTTTGAGAGTGTGTGTTACCACAAGAAAGCCTTAAACCTGTTCAATCTTACCCCTGTTGCTCTGGGCATAGCCTCGACACCGGAGAACCCAGGCGAGCTCTGCGACCGATGTGGCCGGTACGGCTGTGTGATAGATTTGTGTTATAATGACCATAGTCTCACTCGTCTCATTCTTACCCCCACAGGAGTTGACCAAGGTGTGGTCCGAGTTCCAGTTGAAGGAGAGGCAGTGTCTAGCGGTTGCTGTGAGACATGCAGTTTGAGAGTGTGTGCTACCACAAGAAAGCCTTAAACCTGCTCAATCTTACCCCTGTTGCTCTGGGCATAGCCTCGACACCGGAGAACCCAGGCGAGCTCTGCGACCGATGTGGCCGGTACGGCTGTGTGATAGATTTGTGTTACAATGACCATAGTCTCACTCGTCTCATTCTTACCCCCACAGGAGTTGACCAAGGTGTGGTCCGAGTTCCAGTTGAAGGAGAGGCAGTGTCTAGCGGTTGCTGTGAGACATGCAGTTTGAGAGTGTGTGTTACCACAAGAAAGCCTTAAACCTGATCAATCTTACCCCTGTTGCTCTGGGCATAGCGTCGACACCGGAGAACCCAGGCGAGCTCTGTGACTGATGTGGCCGGTACGGCTGTGTGATAGATTTGTGTTACAATGACCATAGTCTCACTCGTCTCATTCTTACCCCCACAGGAGCTGACCAAGGTGTGGTCCGAGTTCCAGTTGAAGGAAAGGCAGTGTCTAGCGGTTGCTGTGAGACATCCTGTTTGAGAGTGTGTTACCACAAGAAAGCCTTAAACCTGCTCAATCTTACCCCTGTTGCTCTGGGCACATTCTCGACACCGGAGAACCCGGGCGAGCTCTGCGACCGATGTGGCCGGTACGGCTGTGTGATAGATTTGTGTTACAATGACCATAGTCTCACTCGTCTGATTCTTACCCCCACAGGAGTTGACCAAGGTGTGGTCCGAGTTCCAGTTGAAGGAGAGGCAGTGTCTAGTGGTTGCTGTGAGACATGCAGTTTGAGAGTGTGTGTTACCACAAGAAAGCCTTAAACCTGCTCAATCTTACCCCTGTTGCTCTGGGCACATTCTCGACACCGGAGAACCCGGGCGAGCTCTGCGACCGATGTGGCCGGTACGGCTGTGTGATAGATTTGTGTTACAATGACCATAGTCTCGCTCGTCTCATTCTTACCCCCACAGGAGTTCACTTAGGTGGGGTCCAAGTTCCAGTTGAAGGAAAGCCAGTGTCTAGCGGTTGCTGTGAGACATCCTGTTTGAGAGTGTGTTACCACAAGAAAGCTTTGAACCTGCTCAGTCTTACCCCTGTTGCTCTGGGCACATTCTCGACACCGGAGAACCCAGGCGAGCTCTGTGACCGATGTGGCCGGTACGGCTGTGTGATAGATTTGTGTTACAATGGCCGTAGTCTCTCTCGTCTCATTCTTACCCCCACAGGAGTTGACCTAGGTGGGGTCCGAGTTCCAGTTGAAGGAAAGGCAGTGTCTAGCGGTTGCTGTGAGACATCCTGTTTGAGAGTGTGTTACCACAAGAAAGCTTTGAACCTGCTCAGTCTTACCCCTGTTGCTCTGGGCACATTCTCGACACCGGAGAACCCAGGCGAGCTCTGCGACCGATGGGGCCGGTACGGCTGTGTGATAGATTTGTGTTACAATGGCCGTGGTCTCTCTCGTCTCATTCTTACCCCCACAGGAGTTGACCTAGGTGGGGTCCGAGTTCCAGTTGAAGGAAAGGCAGTGTCTAGCGGTTGCTGTGAGACATCCTGTTTGAGAGTGTGTTACCACAATAAAGCTTTGAACCTGCTCAGTCTTACTCCTGTTGCTCTGGGCACATTCTCGACACCGGAGAACCCAGGCGAGCTCTGCGACCGATGTGGCCGGTACGGCTGTGTGATAGATTTGTGTTACAATGGCCGTGGTCTCTCTCGTTTCATTCTTACCCCCACAGGAGTTGACCTAGGTGGGGTCCGAGTTCCAGTTGAAGGAAAGCCAGTGTCTAGCGGTTGCTGTGAGACATCCTGTTTGAGAGTGAGTTACCACAAGAAAGCTTTGAACCTGCTCAGTCTTACCCCTGTTGCTCTGGGCACATTCTCGACACCGGAAAACCCAGGCGAGCTCTGTGACCGATGTGGCCGGTACGGCTGTGTGATAGATTTGTGTTACAATGGACGTAGTCTTGCTCGTCTCATTCTTACCCCCACAGGAGTTGACCTAGGTGGGGTCCGAGTTCCAGTTGAAGGAAAGGCAGTGTCTAGCGGTTGCTGTGAGACATCCTGTTTGAGAGTGTGTTACCACAAGAAAGCTTTGAACCTGCTCAGTCTTACCCCCGTTGCTCTGGGTGCAGCCTGGATGCCAAAGAACCCAGGCGAGCTCTGCGACCAATGTGGCCGGTACGGCTGTTTGATAGATTTGTGTTACAATGACCATAGTCTCAATTGTCTCATTCTTACCCCCACAGGAGTTGACCTAGGTGGGGTCCGAGTTCCAGTTGAAGGAAAGGCAGTGTCTAGCGGTTGCTGTGAGACATCCTGTTTGAGAGTGTGTTACCACAAGAAAGCTTTGAACCTGCTCAGTCTTACCCCTGTTGCTCTGGGTACAGCCTGGATGCCAAAGAACCCAGGCGAGCTCTGCGACCGATGTGGCCGGTACGGCTGTTTGATAGATTTGTGTTACAATGACCATAGTCTCAATTGTCTTATTCTTACCCCCACAGGAGTTGACCTAGGTGGGGTTCGGCTTCCAGTTGAAGGAGAGGCGGTGTCTAGTGGTTGCTGCGAGACATGCCGTTTGAGAATGTGTGTTACCATAATAAAGTCTTGAATTTGCTGAATCTTACCCCTGTTCGAGGCACAGCCTGGACACCAGAGAACCCAGGCGAGCTCTGCGACCGATGTGGCCGATATGGCTGTTTTAGAGATTTTTGTGTTACAATGACTTTAGTCTTGTTTGTCTCATTCTGACCCCTACGAGAGTTGTGGGGGTCAAATTGCATTTCCTACTAATTTTTTCTTTTTTTTTTTTTGAAAACGCACTAGATTTTGCTTTATTGTGCAATTTGATGTAGGAGTATTTTTGACGGTTTACATAACCCACCGAAATACTGGCTGTGATTCCATGCAGGTGCTCCCTTTTGAAATTACTTTTTTGGGCTTGAGATTTACCTGATTACTTACATGCTCACAAGCAAGTATGGTGGGTACAGCTCCTGGCTTTAGGGTGGGAATGGAATGCGACCTGAAGAAGCATGATGCTTCAAAGTGCTTCGAGCAGATTCTGTGATGTTTTTTCGGGGAAAAGGGCTGATCTCCGAAGAGCTCAAGCCACCTTTTCTAAAGAGTTGGATCGTTTTGAGGGAACCTAGGATAAAACAATTTATATAAAATGTGTCAAATTTTATTGCTACATAATAAACGCGCCATACATTAAGAGAAGTGCATGTGGTATAATACATAACGCACGATTATCTGACGGTTGTAGTGATTGGTAGTCATATACAGTGGTTTGAACCTGCGTGCTTGCGACGCACATTACTTTCGTTCTCTTATTTCAGCAAAAGTTGTGCCTTCGATGTCCCGAGCATAATTATCATTAGAGCACTTTCATGAACTTCAACAATCCACGCACTTACCCGTGGAAAGATAGTCGCGTTCCTTTAGGAGCTTTCTTTTTGCATAGCGCGCAGGTGTTCGGCATCGCGTCAACGCGAAACTAAACCATTCGCGCTATGGTTTTGACAGGCGCGCCTAGGCACCTCCCGGGAAAACGAAACCTCGTAACCACCACATTTCCGAGATTTCGACAGAGAAGAAGTTAATGCAGCATAATGAGTATTTTAGTTTCTATAAGCGTTAGAATAGCTCAGAATTTAGTTTACAACGTTAAGATTATTACTGTTTATATTGCTGAGAGTTTTCAGTCTTCGCGTTCACCATTGCGACTGTCGTTCTTCAGATGGCAACATTGGTTTCTTTCTCTCGTGTTCTGTCGCTCTCTTTTGTGATCTTTCACTCGGGACCCAGGATGTCGGCGTACGGGATTTGCCACTCCTCCTCACCCACCTTTACCCCCCTGGCCAACGGTAGCTGATTGCAATAGCGATGGTCCTTGCGCAGTCTTCAAAAGGCTCTTCCTTTTTGTTTTTGAAAACAAAACTAAGCAAATTAGTATTATATTACTATTAATAGTGTCACTATAATGTTGTAGAAAGTTGACAAAAATTTAGTCTATCTTAGATGTTATCTAAACTTTAGGTTTTCTTTTTCAATACGAAACCGAAACTATAGCTCAAGCACGTTTCGTTCGTCGTATTCGTTTCCGTGCGTGCGTGCGTGCATGCGCCCTGTTCGTATGCGCGTGTGGATACGTCCGCGTGGTTGTTTATGCGTGCATCTGCGTCTGCGTGCGTTTTCGCGTGTGCATGCTTGCGTGCGCGCGTGTATGTGTGTGTCTGCGCGCGCGCAAGCATATCTGTTTATGCGTTCTATTGAACTACGCCAGCGAGAAAACCAATTGGATGTCCCTGGACACTGTAAAAACACTAAATGATTTTATTATTATTGTTACTATTGAAATATGCCAACGTGAAGTCCAGTGTTTCTTCCTTAACTCTGCAGTAAACACTAGTTGATTGATTGATTGAGCTTTATTTTTGCTGGTCGTAATTTGAGACAGATGCCAATCGGCCACTTCCGCGAATGGGGCGAACATCCGTGGCCCTTCTAAATATCGCGCTTTGAACGTACCTCGAGGAGTCCGACGCCTTGATTGTTGCCATTTCAGCAGTTCTATAAACCACTTCTATAATCCTAAATAATACTAATGGCACGCCTAAATTATACTTAATTATGCTTAGAGCGTACTTCGAGTAGGCTAGTAGTTACATGATCTAAACATACTTGGCAAGTATACTTGGATCGTGGAACGGCTCCCGCATGCCACATACTACTACTCTTCTTTTTTTAATATTCTATTACACTCCCTGCCATACAGTACACTACAAATGTATGTCGAGTATACTTTTATTCCGCTCTTTTTCGCTAGGGGGATGACGGTGAGACAGAAAACGACTACGTCACATACGTATATCAGCACAACATCAGACGCTCTAGTTTTTGAATTGTGATGGAAAGGCCGATGGCTATTTCAAAACTTGTTGCATTTTCAAGCATTGTTTCAAATGAGTTAGACTTTAAGAATGGCTTCATTTGAAGCTGCAATTGCAATATCGGCCATTAAACTAATAAAAATATATCAAATTTGGGTTAATTAGTCATAAATAAAAATAAAATAAAATAAAAATAAACTAAAAAAATATACTGTGGAGTTTATCAATTCATCTGATGTACGCTGACCCCACTTATATACACTGAAGACGACATACAGATATCTATCGCTTCCCTTTTTTCCAAATTATTCTGTTAATAAAGATCTTCACCCTTGTCCAAATAATTGAGCACCCTTCCAACACCCTTCCAGCACTCAGCACCCCTCACAATGTATCGGAAGGGTGCTCGCGCCCAAGCACCCTCGCGCTCGTCATGAGGGGTGCTAACCCTACGAAAAAAAGGGTGCTGGACGGCTAAGTGAAGGATGCAAACCCCTTGCAGCAACCCTAAATGGTGCTGTAGCACCCTTAAAGGGTGTAAAAAAGTTAAGTGTGCGCAGAACCACGAGATCATGAACGGCACGAGAGAGAACGATAAACCGACACCATCGAAACGGACGTGCCCGGGATCTCTTCCTTGACACTGGTGCCAAAACCCGGGTAACGAGATGGACCGCAGCCGAAGAACCCGCGGCATCGTTCGCTCAGCCGTCAGCCGAACAATAACCCAAATCGACAATCTTCTGCAAGACGAGAACACGACAGAGCTAGACCTCCGACTACAACTGGACTACCTGCTTCAGAAAGAAAGCGACCTAATCCGCCTTGACCGTGACATCCAGACGTCCACCTCAGATGACGATATTGAGGCCGAGCTTGAGGGAGCAGAGGAGTACCGTCTTCGCATCAGTCATAGCCTCACGCGCGTCCGACACGCCCTCGACTCTCAGGTCTCTGTACCACAACCCACGAATATCACGCCCAACGTCCCCCTCGACAGAGCCCAGTCCGGCGGTCTTCCTTCAACTCTGACCTCAAGGATCCACAGGACGGTCGCCCTACCGAAACTGCAGGTACCGACTTTTGCCGGGAGCCGTCGCGACTGGCAGGGGTTCTGGGATCATTTCAATTGTACGATACACACCAATTCTGAACTCCCGCCAATCGAGAAGTTTAAATACCTTCTCACGTATCTCACAGATGACGCGAAGCGAGCCGTGGAAGGAATCCGACTTTCAGAACAGAATTATGACCTCGCGGTACAGACGCTACAAGACCGATTTGGACGACGGGACATTCTAATTGATGATCACATTGATCGGCTTCTGAGCTTGCCCGCGGTCAACAGTTCAACCAACGCAGTACAGCTTCGTAAACTCTACGATGCGATACGCTTCAGAACAACATCTCTTCAAGGGCTGGATGTCCCGCCTAGCAACTACGCTGTCGTCCTACATCGTGTTCTCCTGCGGTGCCTTCCTGCTGACCTGGCTATACTATACCGACAGAAGTTAAGGGAAGCAGCACTGACACCATCAGCCGACACACCTGACATGCGCCCGGAAGAGCAGGTCCGCGTCATCATGTTATTTCTACAGACTCAAGTGGAAATTCGAGAAGATGTCCAAATGGAACACCCAAGTCACTCTCCCCAGTATGGGTCATCGCCGATACCACGTCAAGAATCCGTACAGGCGAACCACCCTTCCGCACTCGCACTCTCGACTGAGACTGTTGGCTACCGAGCGGCCACATGCCCTTTGTGTGATACCACCCAGCACGAGGTGCAAAACTGCCAGGCTAGACTTTCAACACCAGAAAAACGAACCAAGCTTGCGCGAGCACGCTGCTGCTTCAAATGCTGCAAGCGAAACCACATCGCTCGTTTTTGCCGTTCGTGCAGGAACATGACATGCGCCACTTGTGGAGGTCACCACGTGACTATACTCTGCGATCTATCACGTCCCACATCAGCCGCATCAGACAACCCAGACCCAGGAGGACTTAGTGAATTTACCGCAACAGTCGTGAGCGCACCAACCACCAGTTCCCGCTCTTCTGCTGTCTTGCTGCAAACTGCTAGAACGTGGGCTCTAGGGACACCGAGACACCTCCTACTGAGGCTGTTACTGGACAGTGGGAGTCAGCGCACGTTTATCCGGCAGGACATTTCTGAAAAACTGGGTTGTGAAGTCCTTGGCCAGGAGGAGCTTACTATATACACATTTGGAAACACAGCCACCAAACGGTCCTGTAGACGAGTGGTTGTGACCCTCCATAGCCATCAAAGCAACCAGAAGACATCACTTGAAGCACTGGAGGTCCCAGACCTCTGCACAGTATCCAACCAGCAGCTAGATGACAATCTACTAAGGCAACTTCATTCCAGCGGACCTCATGCCGCAGATATCATCCCTGCTGGGGCTCAAAGCAGAGTGGACAACGACGTCGGCGTTCTCATAGGCTCAGACTTCTACTGGCAAGTCGTCACAGGACGGATCCAGCACCTGACTGACGACCTCACCGCGGTAGAAACCATATTTGGCTGGATGGTCCAAGGAACGTACTCTCAAGCCATCTTTTACCCTTCAGCAAGTGTTACTGGGCAACGCCAAAAAGCGCTCACCGTCGACATTGGCGCCACGCAAATGACCAGGAAGAAACCCGTGCTCGCCGAGCGGGTGCTGGGCACCGTCCAGTGGTTCAACGTAAAGAATGGCTACGGCTTCATCCACCGCAACGACACGCGGGAAGACATCTTCGTCCACCAGACCGCCATCACGCGGAACCACCCGCAGAAGCTCACGCGCACCGTTTCCGAGGGCGAGACCGTCCAGTTTGACGTCGTCGTAGACGAGAAAGGGCGCGAAGCCGCCAATGTGACAGGTCCCGACGGCGAGCCCGCGCAGTGCCTCCCTTATTCCATGGGCGGAAGACGCTTCGGAGGTCGTTGGTTTCCGAGACGGAGTCAATGCCGACCGATGCACAACCCGCTCCACGGTGTGCAGGACTCGGACGACTTCCATGACGTTGTGCTCGTGCCGTACTCGCCGCGGCCGCAACCGCCACCGCAGCGACGGCTGCAGCCTGGGAGACCCTGTTTACGCCGCTACTACCGCCGTTACAGAGGTATGACCAGGAGCTCGCTACCCGCCGAAGACATAAGACCCAACTCCCAGTTTGAAGAGGAGGACGAATACAGGGACACCCGAGTCCAGCGGAAGCCACATCGACGCTTCTACGGGAGGTACTACCGCAGGCGTGGCGGAAGGTCTAGGAGTGATCCAGAAGAGTTCGACTTCGAGCAGGAGCCCAGGAACGCGCCGGGTTTGTGGCGAAAGCCGAGACCTCGATCGACGTCGGCGTCGGCGTTGAGGGCGTCCGCCGGACGTAACCGGGAGACGTTGTTATTATAAAGGACGACACGCCACTGCTCCTATGGAAACTTGGAAGAATAACAGCAGCATTTCCTGGAAGAGACGGCATACCAAGACTCTGCGCGGTTCGCCTTGCGAGCAGACAAGAAATTCAGCGCCCTATGCAAGGCCTTCTCTTTCTTGAAGGCAACATATCAAACTAAGAATTGACACAGAACGATGGACACCCCTTGTTTGCTACAAGCATTGCGTTATCATGACTTCACTGAAACTGTGTGGGACTCGGCAAAGTGTTCATTCAACTTGTTTGTGTATTTTTGTATTCCCCATTGACCTTTCATGAGTTCGTGTTTTCTGCACTGCTCTGTACCTTCTTAAACTTCCTGATCTCGCGGTATGGGAATGCATGGTCTCATCTCCAGGCCGGCGCGGGAAGTTGTTGTAGATTATGCGATCTGGTAGTAGGACAAGAGGAAAAGGAGGTAGAGGAGCGCAGAACAACGAGATCATGAACGGCACGAGAGAGAACGATAAACCGACACCATCGAAACGGACATGCCCGGGATCTCTTCCTTAACACGCACTACCTGCTATGCCGAAGACACGTAGTTGGTGGAGGATGGTGGCATGAGGTAGAGCATCAAAAGCTTTGTAAATCTCAAGGAAGGCGCAAAATGTGTTTTCCGTTAGCCCGTGCATCTTTGAACGTTGCCACCTTTCCTATGGCATCAACCGTAGAGCGAATGAGCTCGGAATTAAGAGAGTTGTTCTGGAAGCGCCTTGTTTGTGTCAAGCTGCCATGTGAGGCAAAAAAGGACGAGGCGTTCAATACATTTTCTCACACAACTGGTCAAGGAGATTGGCCTATACGAAGATAGGTTCGCATAGGGTTTTCCAAGCTTGGCGACTGGGATTACATGAGAAACCTTCAGCTGCTGGGAGCTCTGAGGTGCGCCATACCCCCTTTAGAGTCACTAAATAAATGGGGAGGGGCTTCTCATCAACATTACGTAGTGCTCGTTACGTCACACCATAATGTCCGGGAGTGCAACAGTTTGTGCACTTTCGTCGGCAAGCAATTCTACTGTCTTTTGCAGGGGCTTCTGAAGTGCAATCGGGAGTCCGGATATGGGATGTTGTATTTGCTTCTCGGCCGAAAAGGGTCTTTACTGTCTTCCATGCCTTTGAAAGACTGCCGAGAGAACCGAAAGACCGAAAGAGGCGCAAAGTTGTCTCCATTGCTTGCGCTGAAGACGCAGGCATAGGCGTGCGCAGGGTTCCGCTTGAGAGGGGGCCTGTTCTCATTAGAGCGCCCCCCCCCCCCCCCACGCACACACACACACCCATACTCACACAATCCGACCCCCTCCAAAATGACCTCTACATATTACGCTGAGACCTGCAATGCTAATTATAATGGTCATTCGAACGTTATTAAATTTGAGACGTCATATTTACACAAAGTGTAAAACTAGAACACATCCAAAGTGTCACAGGTATGGTTTGCAAAATCTGATTATTCAATCAACATACACATTTTTATGAGACCCCTGGTCAAGAGAAATATCCTCGTTTTGATGAACGTTTGCAGAAAAGTCAACAGCCTCGAGCCACTGCCCCCTTGCCTGAAAAATCACAAGACAGATTGTGTAACCTCCTGGAAAGTGTGCGTTTATTAAATACCCATGTCCTGCGGTGCTAAATACATCAGGCAGACGGGCCAATGCCAGGCTTTTCATAGGGGGGGGGGGGGGGGGGGGGGGGGGGGAGGGGGGAGGGGGGGAAGCTCAGTGTATTTCTCGGGAGTCATGGGCTTTTGATTCGTTGACTGTCATAATTAAGACTAAAATAACAAGTATTCAAGAACGATGACTTGATAGAATCGACTGCGGGCACGAAGTCGCTTTGGGAGTTTTAATTAGACATCATCAGCTCAGTTTATTCAATTATTTTAAAACATATCTGCAACTCTGGTTAACGTAGCAGTTCTATTCAGACAACTATTCAGACCTATTTACATTCCGCAATACTAAATAGACACGTTTTCGCTCGTCGTGACCCAACGTTCGGTGAAGGCGAATTCGTCTGTTATGAGCGGAAGCAGTGTGAAGCATCAGAAGTGTGATGTCAGTAACGTGTCACTCATCATCTGCTCTTTAGGCAGTACCCTGCAGCGCGGAAAACCGGAGCACGTCAGCGATCACGGAGATGTATTGACGACTCTCCCTTACCACTGCTGAATACGCCTGACTGATGTTAACTGCGACTGAAATATCCGAGCCACTTTTTTGTCGACCTGTTTGAAGGAAGCCGATGCTTGCGACGTCTTGTGTACCGCGCTATTAGAGTGGCGTCGTAGTCCGCCTTCCTTATGAAGAACTTCCTTCCATTTTCGATAGCCCTCTGCAAGATACAGCACTTCCATTGTTCTGTCCGTTACTAGTAGAAAACATCTGGCAGGAGAAACAAAAAGCAGATTTCTAAGACACACTACTCCAACCACGGAAAACTGGTGTACCAGTCGGACTTGAAAGTCCTTAAGATACCGCCATTGTTTACCAAAAAAAAAAATACCAGCACAGGCTCTACTGGCAAAGGCTGTTCGAGTTACATCCGGCGATACCTCTGTGTTCAGTTTAGAAGGTCAGGTTTTTCGTTCGGAGAGTTGATAATCGGTCCGCTGTTATCACTATCATGAAGACTCACATTGATGTTCCTCAGCACTTGCACACGTCATCCACTCTCCATGAAGCGAACACTTGGCAGGTTCAAAATCGGAGGCATTTTTTTAGACTTTCCCCTACGTTGCTGTTTGTTGGGAGAAGTCACTGTTCGGGTGATTGGGTGCCATAGCGCTCTAGGGAGGATTCTTGGAGTATTTCCTAGTGTTCTTGGCACCAAGTGGTTGGCCTCGCGGTGGAGCTCAGATAGAATCAGAAACCGGTACAGGACTGCAGAAGGAATCTCGGGAGCAAGGGTGTCTCAAAAGAAAAGCACTGTTGTGCTCGATTAATATCAGAGAGCACGAGCCGTTTCACAAGATTGCTTGTTTCAAGCAGGCCACTCTAGTCCTTTAGGAAGTGGTCATGATTTAGGCAGAGCAGATAAACAAACGGACAGACATGACTCCCAACTGGAAACATTCATTTACCCCCCCCCTCCCCCCCCCCCCCCCATGTACACACTCAAATTTTGCTCCAACATCCTGAAGTAGTCCCTCGGGGACTCCGTGCCCCAGGGTCACTAATAACGGAAGTGTGGCAGTTCTCAAACCTCCAAGCTCCGACCTATACTTGCTCGCTATCTGACGCAGGTCCTCTGCGTCCCAGCTGTTGGTCGGTCTAGGGGCGACGTATGCACAGATGATAGTGAAGTCTTCACCATGGACTCTAAGGGTGGCGGCTACAAATGCTGCTTTATCTGTAATGCATTTTGAGAGGTCCAGAGGGTTATGTTGCAGGATTGCAGACACGAGTAATACCGCCCGAGAGCGAACACCCTTTTTCAATGGAGCGCTGTGATGAATAACGTACGCAGAAAGTTGAAAATGTTCGGGTCATGCCATAGGCTCTTGGATGGCTAGAACGTCAATAGAATGATGTAACAGGTGCTGCCGGAGGTCTGGGAGTCGTCTTCGAAGTCCACGATTGTTCCACTGAAGGGTTGAAGGTAAAGTCAAACGATTCCTTTACCCTCTTTTACGCGGTCCGCGTGAAGGCCTTGGGTGCACCAGCAAAGTTGCATTAGTGGTATATTTTGGTTACACAAGGGCGTGCTTCCTAGTATCCGTGAATTAGCGGGCGCACTGCTTGTATTATAGCAATAAACGCGGGTGCCCATGGTGCCTTCAGGGCTGGTAGTACTGTGAGAGTAACATCGATGGCAGCCCCGATAAGAGGCACCCATGAGATCGTACCTTCTTCATAAACGCTGTCATTTTCAAGCCTGTTTCTTCTTCTCCTTGATTACCCGGCGGCATAACAGTTGGTCTGCTTTGGAGCGGGGAACGAACGTGGTTCTTTTTTTGTTTCGACGCTGATTGTTCTTCAGATTTCTCGAAATCCTTCGATGGATTTCGCTGACCCTCTCGACTATATTATTACTTTTCTTGGTACTCTTCATCATCCCATCATCATCGTTATCAATCACACGATTCACCGTCAGTGATCACCATTTACACGACTCACCATCAGTAATCGATATTAGCTACAACCATAACCTTCACTCATTTCTGGCTTTCACCTTGTTTACTTAACGTTCTCGGCGTTGGACCAGCAGGCGCATTCGTGTGAGGGTTTTTACCATTCTGCTTTACCCTGGCGCACAGCCGTGTACGCGCTCGTTACTGTGCAAATAAATCACTTATCATTTCTTCTTTAGGACGGAAAGATAGGTCGGGAATAATTTGGTGACCTTCATTCTGGGATCTGTCTCCTTGCCCTCACCAGCTATATTACTGTGTATGCTAACTGGCTCATCCCCAGAGGCGTTGGGGACTTCGGTGAGTTCAAGTTTGGGAAATGTCAGAGTTTGTGGCTTGAAGTCCCACTGAATGCTCTCTTGAGAGATCATGAATCTCCCGCACTTGTAATCTCGGGCAGGAATGTACTGTTGTCTCGTGGTTACCTTGACAGTTAACGCACTTCACAGTTTGTGACCGGCATTCTTTGTTTGTCGGGGCGTGTCTCCGCACAGCCTTGGCACGCTTACAAGAAATATTCTTGTGCCCATAGCCATAGCAGTTGAGGCACTGTATCGGTCTGTCTGTGAAGAAAGGGAGACAGAATAGCGGGCATGTCCAAGAAGAATGTAGCTTGGAAGTGAATTCCCCGGGAACGTGATTTTTACGGCGGTAGACTTTCCAAGCCGTCTAAACTTTGCAACACCGATGTCCGATTGGATGCGTGCAGCAGTTGTGTGATTGCTAATTTCTTTATGAGCTTCCCTGATGATTCTGTTGATCGTAGGTCCTGGAATAGAAGCGTAGGGCCTCGCCTATATATCACAGGCTGCAGAGGTCTTCAGCAGCGCCTTGGTGGCTTCTTCGTTGAGCGTGTCGACAGCAATAGGAGTGAGTCTCACACTATACTTTACTTGGTGTATACTTTACGAGCACATCTTCTCCAAAGCCAGGGACACCTTAAGAACCTTGGGGGATGTCAGCGTATGGTCTTCACTTCTTAGGGCAAATACCACAGTGAGTCCATCTGGTGTCTTCCTTGATACGATGATTATGTCATAGTTGGAAAGGGAACCGTTGCTTTTGGTGCTCCTCACACGAACTCTTTTCCGGCGTCGTTGACGTACTAGATCAAAAGTTCCTTCCCCGCCGGGATCTTCTACCATGCTCATGACTTCGGTGCTGGATGATGATGCAAACGACTTGTATGGGTTGACAGAACGGGCATCGTCCTGAGAAGCGTTGGACGTCGAGTAGTCCGAAAGCCGCTGTTCAGCCGTAATATCGAGGACTGTGACTTCTTCGGCGCTGAGGTGGACATGTGCACGTCTACCTCGGACGTGGGCATGTTAATTTACGTAGATTGTGCCAGCAGCCGAACGCTGCCGCACTCTCCAAAACGAGCCTTTAGTGGTTTGAGGATTACTCGAGGGCAGCACGTGCAGAGACTAGGCGTATTTTGTCGCTTTCAAGGTTCGAGTTCAGTGCTTCGTCCTTCGGATCATCTTCCAGTGGGGAGATGTCGTAAATGAAACCCTTCGTGAATGTGGCGCCGGACGTCCGGAAGTTTTCGGCAGGACCTTGCTCGAAATTAAGGTAAAACTGGGTAAGTTGCTCCACAGCCTCTGCTGCGCTTTTGCAGTCCGTACGAAGCGATATGATGTTACTCTTCTCGATCAGGCGTAGCGTGAAGTTCTTTGAGATTGATGTGAGCTACGTTTAAAGCAAATGTAAGATGGTTTGATAGATGTCTGGGGGCGCCGTAAGACGTATTTTGTATTCAAAGTCCCAAAGCTTAGGTTGTTTTGCTCTCGCCGGCGGGTTGCCACCGGTATTGACTAAGACAGGGCGAACGAAAACTTCTTTCGCCTTCTTCACTTTTTGTACGTAGCCATGTGTCAGTCTTCATTGTTTGTGTCTCGGTCGAGTTGCACCGGCTGGGCGTCATCTGGTGTAATCAAGGCTATGTAGTGTGACTTCATAGGGGTTTGAAGCACCGTTGCCTGGACGAAGGGCACATTTCTTTTCGTTTTATCGTACCCGCCAGAAAGGGTGGTCACTCTCTCCTAAATCTTGCGTATTTTGCCTAACGATTGTTCGGTCAGGCGCTTTGGTGGTGTCTTTTTTAGGACGTGAATGTCAAATCGTACTAAGAAAAGAAACTGGAAGCATTGTTTCTCCAGTACCGGATTGGAGGGCTTGGATATGTAGATTTTGAGGTAGATCCGCAAGGCCGTTACTTATGAGCTGCGTGCTTTTATTTAGTTGTTCTGTGTAGAGGAGAGAATCCCCTCTAAACATGATGTTGCCCACCTGAAAGCCCGGCGAACAAGTGAAGTTTAGAGTGCAGATTGCGGGCTGCTTACAGGGCAGAGCCGGGGTCGCCACGGTGGTGACTATGGTGGTCAGGTGAGCCTGGGTGGTCTTCACGTCTTCGTTGAGGTCAAGGAACACAAAATGTTCTTGGGATGTAGCATCTCAAACGAAGTTGAGCGCAAGGAGCCCGAAATGGTGTTGGGATGTAGCATTTTGAACGAAGTTGAGCGGGGCGCTGCGAGAATACGTGTTCCCCAGCGAACCATCCTCCCTGAAAGCGTGTGAGCATGTCATGCTGTGCCATCTCACGGTGTTTTTCAGCAATAGTAGCGAATCTTCGACACACTCGATTTGTAACGAGGCGGAGGCGGTGTTGTTCTAGCGCCGTTCAGACGCCTCTCTCTTTCTCTTCCACCGTGGCCATGGCTGCGAAGCAGCCATTGCCACGTTGGAACAAGTGAGAGGCGAGCTTATCTAGACGTAAAAAATGGCAGGACCCGCAGGAAGTGCCTTCACCGGGCCCCCTCACATGAACGCCCATAGGTGTTAGCCTGTCACAAATTCTATGCTTACCATTCTCTGTCAGCATAACCAAGCTGGATATTTTTTAACAGGAACTTTTACACGCAAGCAAAAACGGTTCTTTTTTATTTATTTCATAAGTATCAAAACGTAATTCCCAAAAACTTTAGTTTATATCGTTTTTAAGTGGGCCACAAGCCGGATTAGACGGTGCTCTTCAAAAAATTTTCAAAATTGCAACAAGAAATGGCAAACTTTTTTTAAGAATAAAATCAGGTTTTCAGCAAACGGACGTTCTAACCGACACAATTTACAGACTAGAGAGATTGGACTTTACAAAACGCTGCAAACCATAGAGTCTTGATCTCGCAATATGCGGGTACCTAACAAGTGGGGGGGGGCTACGAAGTTCTTGAGAAATTTGGAAGTTCAATCCCCGATAACTCGGGATCCCTCTAAACGGCACGTTCTTCTTTAAAACCCTAGTTGGACAATATTATTTTATTAGAGGCCGCTGCGGGCCATCTAGCAGTCCTAACGATATATGCCATCTTGTCTTTTGCACAACAACAGCTAAAAACCTAGAAACATTGGGTATACTCCAAAAGATAACTGTACGCTGCATTTGTAGTACTTCTCATGATCCCCATAATTTGCCCTTATTTCAGCGACTGCTATTATTAGAAGTTTCGGCGTCTATACTTATAGACTAAGCCGCAGATTTTTATCGGAATCGAGACGAAACATTCGAAATTTAACATTCCTGTTTTATTGACCAGATATTATCCTTGTTGCATAACCCCCAAAAAATCAAATACTGGAAGGTGAACGTATGCAGAACAAATTATGGATTCCAAATGCTCAAATACGCACAACCAAAAGCTATAAATGGCCATTAAGCGAACAGTAATTTTTTTGTACAACTTTTCGAAGCCTAAGGTCTCTTTACGTATAATTTCTTATACCTTGTATTTTTATGCTTTTTATAGTTCATTGCTGCCTACATAGATATATGTTTTGCTTACATACAATGTTTACAAGTCCTTTTGAAATAAATAAAATGTAGTGTGATTTGCAGATGTACAATTTTAATATACTTATAAAACAGAACATGTTTTTTATTCATTGTAATGTTACCTCTAAACTACATGTTTATTTATTTGCAATTTTTGTTGTGAAATTAGCTTGTGCTTGTATTTATTTCTTAGATGCGCCCTTTGATACTTGTCCATATTTTCTGTTTTCGGGTGACCACCGTCTACCACTGTAAGGGAGCCGAGGACTTGTCAAGCTGCCTGCAGGCAGCATTTTTCTCGGTCCCCCCATTTTGTGATGGGAATAAAGGAATAATTAGTATCATGTTAACTGTAGCTATCGCCTCAATCCGCCAGGTTCGATGACATGAAACAGGTCTCGTTGTTTATACGTGGTTCTCTGTGGGTCATGGACCACAGCAGGTGAGGAACACAAGCATCCTTAAAACAACATACGCCATGGGTTGCTTGGGTTACTTGGTTTGCCAAAAAAAAAAAAATATTCTTTTCGGTTGCTTGGGTTGCCAGTAAAGAAAACTGCTAGTGTTGCCAAAAAGCTCGTTTCCTTTCGATAGCGGAGAAAGGCCTGTATTTGTAGCTCGAAACACGAACAAAGCTCTCTCGCTTTGTTTTGGTGAATGTGCTACCTGTACAGAGTGCGGCGCTCTGTGATCAGAAACAGAACACGACGGCAAGACGCGGACAGAGAATGACCTTGATTAAAACAGAAAAACAACTTTCGGAGTGTTGTAGTTTGCAAAACTAACGGCGTGCAACTGTAAAGCTGGCTAGAAAAAACTCGTGCGATCAATCACTGCAGACGCTCTAATGAGTCACGAACAGATTTTGGTCGATCATCCGTTGCTCGTGTGCTCCAAGTGCCTCGCGTGCACGGCTTTGTACTTTGTCTGGCAGAGTCTCTCCGGCCCAGTTCAGTCGACTAGGTCACGTTCATTATCCGTGCGGGCTAGACACCTGCCAGGACTGTTGGCGTCGGGTAACTAAAACTCATCTTCCATCACGTCTCTATTCTTAAAATTATCGCTTTTTACAATATCCCAAGGATCCTGCGTTTGCATTTTCTTTATGAGGGATAACAAATGTACCTTGTCCGGTAACTTGATTGAAATGCTGAAGAATCTGCAGCTCGGCTACGGTAGGCTCTGAGATGTGTGCTCTTCTGGAACATTCACTGACTGCAACCTTGTGCATGAATACGGCCTGTTCTTCTCAAGTTCCTTGCGATTGGCGCCTGATATGATTTTTAAAATTGCATGCTCTCAGACTTCCTGTGAGATTTGAAGTGATTACCGTCGTGGCAGTTTGCGGTGGTCGAGCGTATTAGCACACCTCAACACCTCAGCCTATCAGCACGTGAAGGCAACGTTCGAGTATCAGAATAAAATATTTATGAACTTAATTTTCTCTACTGCTAGTTTCGATATCAACGGGCGATGTTCCAGCGCGTTTTCGTATTATCACGTACTCTTTTTAGCCGCGTGACGCAGAGGTTGGAGACCTCAGGTTTCCACTCGTAAACCGCATAAGCCAAATTACAGGGCACGCCAATATCTCGCCCTATGAACATTCTAGAACTTCCAGCTCTTCTCTCATCACGCTATAGAAAAAATACAGCGGCTACCAACGGTGTATTTGACATGTCTGCAAAGAATGTACACAGCCCGACACTGTTAATGATGGCTTGGGTGATTTTGCGCATTTTACCTCCATAAAGTACTTCGGGAATCAAAATGTATCGCTTAGGTTAGTACTCGAACTGAGAACTTTCCACCACTAATAGTAGTTTTGATGGCTGTTCTTAAACACTTAGAGACAAACAGATAAAACCGGCGATGGCATGTTCGCGCTAACAGTGTCGCGGAGTTTCGCATTCTATAGACTTCACCCTTCTGAACAGTGTTCTCTCGCAGGGAAGCCTTCTCCGTCCAACGGCAACTTCAGGCTAAAGAGGAGGTCACTCATATTGAGCACGGAATGTCCACACCAATGCCTTCTTCGGTGGCGAGGGATGACAGAGTCTCTGCGATGGCCATGACCCCTATCCGGGTGTCCGGTGGCAACAAGACGGACATCCTGCTCAAGGCTTCGCAGAAATTCCTCTGGTGTCTCGCCCTGAGCTTGCCGGTTCCATCGCTGGCGTTCCGGCTGACCAGCGCGTTGCTGTGCTGGGGCAAAGACAGGGACCAGGTGGCGGTGCTTGACAACCTGATGACCATGGTGCGTGAGGTCGTTGCTATAGTTTCCGGAGCCATCTACTGCTTCACACCAGCATCAGGCCTTCAGCGTCCCGTGAGGTAAGTTTCAGATTAAGGGTCAACGTGCCGTCCTCTCTGTAATGCCCAAGGCGGACTGATGCCATATGACGGGGCCAATTATCCGAGATTCTTTATTAAAATCTGTATTATTTGCACGCTACTGTATTGCTCATAGGCTGACAGGTGCCCTATGACGTAACCGATTATACGGAATTTTTTAGCGCAGCTCTTAAAGGCCGACGACCAGACTGGATATTCTGCAAGTCAGAAGATCCTCCTCACCATGGGGGAGAAGGAAACAGGCAACGGTGGACAGGGTAGAAGGTGGAGAGGAGCAAACAAGCGAAAAGTGGAAAGCGCGAACTGGGTAGTCGGTCTTTAAGGCCTGACCACACTAGCGGCAACGGCGCTGCCAGTCGGCTCCGCTCGGTGGCACCACCGTCCGGCGTCCCAACGCGAGGAGACACTTGAAAGCACCAGCTCTCGCGTTCTCGAGATCGCGCGCGTGCCTCCAACCGGATTGCTTCCTTTTTCGTCGACTGCTCTTCGTTAGATTCTTCTGTTTCGGCTCTCATCTTTCGCATATATAAGAATCAAAACCGCACTCGCTGCGTGGTAGGTGTCGATGATGACCTGGTTATCAGCGTGAATGTGATCACCATAGCCTGCTTGTTGATCTTGCGACGTCGCCGCGCTCTGAAGGAAAGAAGCCACAGGTTTTGAGTCCGGCTGAGTTGGTGCTACCGAAACACCGAGCAACACGTCACTGCTTTGCTTCCCCGGCTGCGCGCCACAGATGAAGGCTACTTTCAAAAATGTCACCAAATGAACACGACATACGTCACAACGCAGAAGACATGCGACAAATGCCACGGAGACACTCGCCTGTTATTCCGAATTCATCCCCGATAATTTCCCAGCGGTTCTTAGCGTCCTTATCTAGCTAGTCTGGCTGTATCTTGTCATATAAAAAGGGAAACAGTCGCACAGTTTTGAGGAACCACTCCGCTGGGAAAGGCATTGGGGGAAACAGGGATAGCAGACGAAACGAAAAAAACGCTACGCTCCTTTGCTACGTGAAAGACGCAGGGAGAAGCGGCTTGGACGTTGCCATGACATCGCAGTGTCTCTATCTACGCCACCTCCCATTAACTCCTTTCTTCTGCGGCGAGAAACGGCGAGACCTCAACCGCGCACGTTCAGGTTGCCTTGACGGCGCCCAGCGGCGCGCCGCTGAGCGCGAAAACTGGTTTTCGCCGTCAGCCCGCGGTGGCCAGCGGCGCGCAGCAAGTCTCGGCGACGCTAGTGCGGTCGGGTCTTTAGGCGCTCGTTCTCGTGTTTTGCGGCATCGGCGTCGCCGTCGCCGTCGGCGTAACTGGAGGAGGACGGGAGGGTACTGAGGAGGAGGAGGGGAGGGTACGGAGGAGTAGGAGGGGAGGGTTTAAAAGAGGAGGATGGGAGGATACATAGGAGGAGGGTACGAAGGAGGAGGAGGACACGGAAGACGCGGAGGGTGCAGAAAGAAGGTTACGTGATCACGTAACCACGTAAAGTTACGTGATCGTAGCCGCGTAAGTTTATTGGCAGAAAAATGTTAATGATAACGTGAAGTTACGTGATCACATAAGGTTATCTGATAACTTGACTTACGTAATCACGTGAAGTCTATATATATATATATATATTTCTCAAATTCTTTAACACAGTATATCGCAAAATCGAAATACTTCAAGAGCTGCGCTCTAATACTCATGACAGAAATTTATAAACGTCTTGCATTTTTTGTGGGAAGTGTTTATTATTTGCGAGCGACTCCGTCTAGTACGCAGATGAGTCTTTTAGAAATTGCCCGATGGGGAGCTAAAACAACGTGCGCAGCGGCTTGGTGGGGCCCCTGCCTGTCAAGCAGGAGGAAATAGCCGTTTTGGGCAATGGATGAAAAAAACAGATCCAATAAAGCTGCTCCACGGCAGAAATGTAAAATTGACAGCCACGACAATACAACAAAACGCCTTTTGTGCTTGGAGAGGTTTTTTCTTTTTATATATACCGTTCTACACATGCTACTTGCACGGATGTCAGAATTCAAGGGGTATCCTTCAGCCTCCGAAGGCACGAAGGTAACAAAGGTACATTATGCTCGAGGGTACAGCTAAGCAACATTCGTATCAATACTGGTCTGACGGCCCAAAAACCTATTGTGTTTTCTTTTGAGGGCTAAGGGGGACCATCTTTTTTTATATGAATAAGCTTAAATAGCTTAAATGGATGCCAGTCACAGAAGGCGACCCTAAAATCAAACTCGTTAGGCAGTGCGCCGTAAAACCTGCTGGCGGTGTCTACGCAGGGACAGCTTCAGCCGTCGTCTTCGTGTGTCTTGCTACCTGGAGCTACCGGCGTACGCCTTGCTCTATATTCCCCACCTATTCGTGACCCTCCTGTGGAACGACAGCGAGGCCATCCTGACCATGCTGTTCCTCTGCGTCGACGTGGAGCACCTGGACCATAGCACCTTGTCCAAGGTCATCTTCGTCGGAGACTACATCGGGTAGCGAACCGCACTCTACTCGAATCTTCTTTGAAGCGCTCACACCGTTAATATACCATACAAAAGGCAGTCTACAGACAGTGTTTGAGGCGTGCTTCTTCCTTGCATGACGACCGTGTCACGTGGTCATAAAAAACTGCTTTTAGACGCGTTTGAAGCACATGAAGGAAACTTGCTTGTAACAAGCTTGAGGCGTGTCCACAGATAATAGGGAGTTTTAGGGAACTGTTTTCGCTCATCCGATACGGTACAATGACCCTCCGGTACGAACTGCGCATGAGCTACCGCAGAAGGCTCGCACATGAGCAGTTCGTACCGCACGACCCATAGTACCATGTCGTATGTGCAAAAACAGTTCCCTAAAACTCCCTATTGACAGCCTTTTCAAGCGGAGGAAACACCTTGCTCTTCCCCTACTCTATCAGTTAGATAAATTCGGCATGTAAACATGGACCCATATCATAAACTATACACTTGAGAGCGTCGACACTTCAACCACCTTGTCGATTAAAATTCGTTGTTGCCAGTTATCTAAGCTTTATCTCAATTTGCAGAAAACGCTTTTCCGTCTTCCGCAAACCTGCAAACAGTTCGCGGCAGTGCAAAATGATATCGCATGTGACTCCCGAGACCGTATGCCTAAAGCCGAGGAAGTCGCATTTTCGAATCGCAGCGATTGCCCATTGTGCCTGCTCTGCGCGAGGCAACAAAATGGCGGCATCCGCAAGGCTGTCGGGGAAGCGTCAGTACTCTTAAGCGTAGGCTATTGAGTGACTTTAGGCAAATTAAAGCCAGCGCCCACAGATATTCACTGTGGCACTCAAGGTTGTTCAACTTGAGTTGAAGTTGTTGAATTTATCTCTTCTGGAACCTCGACTTTCGTCAACTTGTTCCAAAACATGCTTGCACATGACGTCATCGTATGATGCTGTTGTTCATCCTTACTTGTCACTTGTCAAAAAATTAATTATAGACGTTTACGCTTCTCTGTAATGCGAAAGTAGAGCTCAGCTTTTTTAGGTATTTTGATTTTGCGATACACCGTGGTAGAGAATGTAAGAAAGAAATTATATTTAAATATAATTCATTCAGAAAATAATTCTCATGCGAAACTCAACTTGCCACACTTGCCATTGAATTGCATATGAACCTCGATAACAACATCGAAACCGACGTCATTTTCTTAGATTTTGCTGAAGCATTTGACAAGATTCCTCATCAACGCCTAATGCTCAAACTTTCCCAACTTAACTTAGACCCGCAGATACTAACATGGATTGGTAAGTTCCTGCAGGATCGCAAACAATTCTTAAACGTCAATAACCATTCATTTAACTACGCATTCGTAACCTCCGGCGTCCCCCAGGGTACCGTTATGGGCCCCCTCCTTTTCCTTATTTACATTAATGACCTTCCCTCTTCTGTTTCCTGCAAAACCCGCCTATTTGCTGACGATTCTGTTGTGTATCGCAAAATTACTAATTTAAGTGACAAGGTATCTCTTCAAAATGATCTTAATAGTGTTCAAGCCTGGTGGGAGTTGTGGCAATTGTCATTAAATATTAGTAACTGTACATTATTTTCCTTTCATCGGCGCTCTAACCCACTAACCTACATTTATTCTATCAATGAGACCCTAATTCCATCAGCACTAAGTTATAAGTACCTAGGTCTGCACTTCTCTAGTAGCCTACCTTGGGCACTACATATTCACCATGTAATCTCTGAGTCTTACAGGTCACTCGGACAACTAAAACGTCGCCTCAAATTCGCACCATTAAACTTAAGACTTGCCGCCTATAAAGCACTAATCCGCCCTAAGCTAGATTACACTGCCGCTATATGGGACCCATTCCAAAATCACTTCAGTCATCAATTAGAAGCAATTCAAAATCGTGCAGTCATGTTCATTCTTTCTAGCTATTCATATGAAATAAGTGTCACCGGCCTAAAGGGACGTGCTCAACTAGATAACCTATCACTTTGCCGAAAAAATTTTACACTAACACTCTTTCATAAGTTCTATTGCGATTTGCAGCCAAATTCACCATGCATCATGCCATCCCCACAACCTCCTTATCGTACCGGTCATCCACTCCAATGTGATCCGCACCAAAACTAGAACCGTGCCCTCGTCTGCTTAATTTTTCCATGACCTTCCCCAGAGCATCGTTTTCATATCTTATCCTCTTCCTTTCAAAGAGAAATTGAACGAAGTCATTCTCACCACTGCCTTATAGTTGAAAAAGAGAAGGAAAAGCAAACGAAAGTGCCTTTACAATGTTTCGTTTGGGACTGATTTCATTTCATTCCTATTGTTCTTGTTTACTAATTTTACAAACGCAAGTGTTAAAACCTTATGTAATACCCTCCCTGAGGAAGTTCTGAAGGTCAATTGAAATAAATAATATATATATATATATTTCTTTTTTATGGTAGGTCAGAGATAGAGGGTACGATAAGGGTACGGTGGAAGCCCCGTAGTGCAACGTGCGCGGTGCTTGTTTTAATACGTACTTTGGCTAGTTGCTCCGGATTTCGTGAAGCCATAGCCTGTGACATAACGTGACGTCACAGTTTCTATGCCAAATTTAACGGGGAAATTGACGTCACGTGACCTCAACAACAATTCAGGTTCCCCGCTAAATTTAGGGGAAATGACGTCACGTGACTTCTTGTCACGTGACCTATACACACATTCAGTTTCCCCGCTAGATTTAGAGAGAAAATTGCCATCACGGGACGTCAACACCAACTCAGTCTTCCCGCTAAATTTAGCGGGGAATCGAAATGGTGTATACGTGGCTTGCACATGACGTCATTTCCGATGCCCTCCAGAGGAAAGGGAAAGAAGGAGTTCCCCCCTTATCAGGACCCTCCTTTGTGCTTTCCGGATTTGCAAAGGCGTCGCTATTCTCCTCCCAAAAGATTATAGAAGCTGTCACTCAAATTTTTTACAAAAGCAGCTTCTTTCTCCTCTTCTTACTTGGTGTTCAAAAGTATGCGATGTCACGTCAGTACAAGGAGCGTATAGACCGACGCGCGGAGCGGCTCTGTTTACCAACACGGCCGGAAGGCCGCGCATGCGCGGTAGCTATGTGGGCAAAAGCAGCCCGGCTCTCCGTGTTTTCGCCATTGCGTTCTATGGCGTGCGCTCGTTGTTGACGTTGTAGGGACGCTTGTATCTTTATTTGTGCGTCGTATTTCCTCACAACGTATGTCGTATGCTATGCCCGACTATTTGAGCTCGTTGCCCGAGCCTGAACGGGAGCGGTATCGAAACAAACTGTAAGTGGACGGCGTGGCCTGCAGGATCCGTACGCCGTAAACAAGGCCTGCTGGACTTTCGACGTAAAGTTGCTGCCACGGAAGTCGACGGCTCACGTCGTTGTTTATTTAGTTTTTTCGCCAAACCAGTTCACGGCCGACACGGTGCGGGCGTACAAGTCTCTCGAGGTCTACGATTACTTCGAGTCGGTTTCCGCACTGCCGGCGGGATCAGCAGCCTGTGGGTCTGCGGAAGTGTGTGTATTGATTAATTGATTAAATATACACAGCGTCTTCAAGTCAAGGTATGATATTTTTTCTACCCTCATGACCACAAGGCATGACAAGCAGTAATGGTTTGTCCGTTCTGCAGTCTTGGCGGTAACAGGTTACAAGTAACGGCGTTGTTGGTAACGCGTTACTTTTTTAGTAACGTAGTAACCCACCCGTTACGTTTTCGACACAGTAACGAGTAACGTACCTATGTTACTATTTCAAGTAACGTAGTTACGTTACTCGTTACTACTTCACAAGTCTTAAAGAAATTGCACTTCAATTTTTTCCGTGTTTTAACCGTCAAGCCATGTTTTTCTTTGCGTTTTTCCTCGTAAGTATTTAGGTATAGCCGTAAAAAGAGATAAAGTAATTATGTTGAGTCTCTGTATGAACATAATGTTTCTTGAGCTGTACCGTCAAAACCGTAAAATGTGTTAAATCATAAGTTAAAAAAGTAACGCAGAAGTAACGTGCGTTACTTTTTATCGGTAGCGGTAACGCGTTCCTTTTATTTTGAGGTAACGTAGCTCAGTAACGCGTACCTTTTATTTGCAAGTAACGAGTAACGTATTTCGTTACTGTTTTTCGGTAACGCCTACAACACTGCCGTTCTGTCGCCGACTCCCATCAGCTGGGTAGCGCGTGCGTAGCGAGCCTCCGACGAGCGCTTGGAAGGTGCTTTGTGCGAGAACATCATGGGAGCAAAATCCGGGTGGCCTCGATCAGACGATGGTTTTCGTGCGCATAAGCAAGCTTCGGGACAGAGATTGAAATGAAAGCCGCACTTGCCTTCAAGAAAGTGTTTGCCGCACAAACGGTCGTTCGCGCGAGGCGACCATTCTTTTCGATCCACGGATATTACCCGCCTTCTATGCCTTTCATAGTCTGCCGGTAACTTGTGGAAACTCACCCCGCTGCTTTTCTTGTACATTCCGGTGCAATGAATAGCAACACAGCAACGCGGCATGCTGAAATGCTATGACGCCCATGCGAAACGTGGGCGCTTTTGCCCACACCCCCCGGCTCCGGCGCGATCGCAGCGCCGCCGCAGCTCCGTGACGTCAAGCCCGCGTGTCGGTGTATAGGTCTGTGACGTCTTATAATTCAATGCGCGCGGTTACGCCAACGCCGACGCAGCCATGTCCGTGAACGGGCACCTAAAAGTAGCGCTCTAAAAACGATTCGTTGGTGCTAGATGGATGCTGCCAAAGATGGCGTGCTCAGCAGCAGGGTCACCAAATTGCAGCTGGTGTGACGTCAATGCAAGCCATGTATAGAAAAACACACTGTTTACGAACAATTTAGCGTTTGCCCACACCAGATGTGGGCACAGCGGGTGCGCAGAAACCAGGATCGAGTGCACTGAAGCTTCCGCGCATGCGCCGTGACGACAGCAGCGCCACCGGAGCAGCGTGACGTCAGGGCCGCGCGTATTTGCGGCACAGATTTGATGTCCAGGGGGCGCGGCCAATGACGTCACGGACGTTCAAATGATAATTGGTGTTCTTTGACGTAAACACGTCTTAGTTTGGATGCCGCCGACTGCATTTTGAATCGTCGGTCGGTCGGCGAGTGTGTGCGCGTGGTCAGGTGCTCGGCGGTGTTCTCGCTGGTGTGTGTCGACGTGCCGCTTGTACTCGTCGCGTGCCGACATCCAGAAACAGTGTTTTTTTTTTTTTATTTCGTTTGCCCGGTGCCGTTGGCCACTCCTGTTGCAAAAGAAGATTCGTAGTGACTACAGTACCGTCCGACAGCACTTTTGCAGAGCGTTCAAGTGCCTTCCGACGGTACTCCACCGACGGTACTCCGTGTTTAGTGCCGTCCGAAAGTCTCGGATAAAGCGAATTGTCAAAACATCATTTGCGAAGCTGTAGCGTAGCTTAGCGCTTAAAATGCCTGCCGCATAGGCAAGCTGTCGTGGGTTCGATCTGCAGTGGAGGCTTACATTTTTTTTTCGAACATTTTGTCTTTCGTTGCATTTGGCGATATTTACGACATTTCTTTTTTATGACTAACGCTCAAAAAAAAAAAAAGAATGCTGTCGACGAGAGTGCTAAAAGCGCGAGCTAGTTGCTTTGGATCGCGCGGCACGAGCGCTCCTGCGGCGGGTGCAGTCATGCCAGTCAAGGCTACTCGCTCGCCGCTTGCACGGCCTTCGCAGCTATTCTATACAAGGGTGATAATCCGTCATAGTCCACACAAGTAAAGGCCTGTTCACATATGTAGCGGAGCGCTACAAGCGTAGCGCTGACCTTGCGCTAAGCGCGTGCTGACGGGAGCGTTCACCAGCTTTGTGTCGCACCGTCAATACTGTTGTTCATGGCAGACAATAAGTAGCAGACGACACGTGAGAAGCGCTACATTAGCGCTTCGCTGCATGTGTGAACCGGCCTTAAAGCTCCAGAAAAATGCGTGCAAAATCACTGCGGCTGGATTCTGTCGCCCCCGGTACACGTAATATTCATTTGCAACAGGAGTGACGGACGGCATCGGGCGAAGTTTGAAAATGGAGAACGCTTATTTTGATGTTCCTGAGAACGCGAAGAGTACAGGCGGCAACGTTGACAACACGCACCAGCACGGACACCGCCGAACCGCCGAGCACCTTGCCACACACACGCTGAGCGACCGACATTTCAAAATGCAGTCAGCGGCATCCAAAGAAAACGTGTTGTTGACGTCAAAATAACTAAGACTGCGAGATAAAAGTTATTATTTCGACGTCCGTGACGTCATTGGCCACGTCCCCTGGACCCCAAATCGGTGCCGAAAATACGCGGACCTTTGCAAGAAAAGCTCCTAGGCCGCCGCCATGTTGCTGATGCTGATGCGGCTGGTGCGACTCTCGCGCCCCCTACCAGCTAGAAATTTTCTGCCACTCTCTTAGACTGTGGAAACCCGCTCGGCGCGATTCTCAAGCTATGTTTTGCGGTTTTGGAATCGACGCTTTCTGGCTCCTCTTGAAAGTTTCCACTTAGTGCACGCTGCGCAAGGGTGCGCAGCGTGCACTGATGCACGCTGCGCACCCTTTCTGTGTTATCTTCCACTGTGAGAAATAGGGCTGGTAAGTGCCTGCCATTCAATCGTTTCTGTTCGACATTCACGGGAAACGAAGACAGGGAGAGACGTTGAACGGTCCTCGAAGCGATTTTGCGAACAATGACTCCTGTTCTCCCCCCTCCCAGAGATAATCCGCTTAGACTCCTTCACAGTCATAGCAAAAAACAGCCTTTCCACTCTGGGGAAGATGGAAGACCAGCGGAGCTGTACAATGGAAAGTAATGGCCGGCCGCGAGTCGGCAAGCCACAGTGGAAAGGCTGCCGCCATCTATGAGCGACGGCGGCAACCCGATACGTGGCTTGCCGCCGTCGCTCATAGATGGCGGTAGGTGTCCAGAGTTCGGTGTCTTTATTTCTTTGCGGCGGACTCGATCCTGGGGAAACTAGCCCTTAACAGCTCCGCTGTAAAATAGTTGTTTGGGTTGGAGTCAGTCGCGCCCACGGTGTCGGGCCCTTCTGTTAAAACGGGAAATCGTGGAAGCAGAGAACATTGCCAGGCAAAAGGAGAGATGTGTCAGCACTCCTTCCATAATGTTGTCCAACAAAGAACTAGAGTACTTAGCCATACAATAATTTTATGGTTTAGCTTCCTATTACAAAAACACAAGAAAAAAAGGAAGAAGAAAAGGGCAATTTTTTGCCATAGAAACCCTAGTCCCAAAGAAAAACGAAAACGAAAATTGTAAATATAACATAGAGTTGTCAGTCAGCGCTGTTTAAGTGGTTCTTTCTTTTGTGTGCATGAAAGCTTATACCCTAGTTATACCCCTGTTACACGGGCAAACTTAACTGCGGTTACGCTAAACCACAATTAGCGCACAATACTTGCCGACAACATTCTGCGGCGATGCAGTCAGAGCTATGGGCGAACGTGCGCTTGAGCATCTTGAGCACCCATCAAAGCAGTGCACGCGCTCTCTTCACTTCTTTTGAAATAGCTGTCGGAGGGTATAGTGCGGCATCTGTGCTGCCACGTAACCGCAGTTAAAGCTGAGTTAACCGCGGTTAAGTGTGCCCGTGTAACAGCGGTATTACACGGGCACACTTAACTGCAGTTACGCTAAACCACAATTAGCGCACAATACTTGCCGACAACATTCTGCGGCGATGCAGTCAGAGCTATGGGCGAACGTGCGCTTGAGCATTTTGAGCCCCCATCAAAGCAGTGCACGCGCTCTCTTCACTTCTTTTGAAATAGCTGTCCGAGGGTATAGTGCGGCATCTGTGCTGCCACGTAACCGCAGTTAAAGCTGAGTTAACCGCGGTTAAGTGTGCCCGTGTAACAGGGGTATTAGACTGCTTGTTTTGAGGGTGCGCTGTTTACTTGTCAGTCGGGCCCTTCCTTCGCCTTGGTGCTGGTGTGAAAAAAGTAAGCTCTCCCCAAAACGTGCCCCAAAACGAAGTCATCTTGGATTCCGTCCGATCGTCAAGATGTTACTATCGTCGATTCTGACCGTGTTATTTGAGATATTTCTCAAATAAATTCTCTTCAGATAACGCTGCATCATGTGGCACGTACAATATATAGTTCGAATGTTAACACTTGCTAAATTGTATGTCAGTGTCCTGTTCATCGGTAAACACGTTATTTGTGAGCTTGAAAAATGCATGCCTTTCGGCTATCTTCAGTTTTAAATTATTTTCGACAGCTAAGCGCTTTGTCGTTTGACACGCGGCTAATCGGGGGGCGCCATCGAAACTTATTGTAAAAAGCAAATACGACAACTAACATTCCAGTCGAATTCGTTCTGCCGCGCGCGTACCCAACAAAAATAGTTTGCAGTTGATTTTTTTGTCTCTTTCTGAATTGTGGTGCAATGCTTTCTCAATATTCTCGGCAAAATACATACACCGATAAACACAAAATACATCAGGAAAAGACGAGAATTTAGCCGCCAACAGTGTTTGAAACTGCGCCCACGCAAGCTGCGCCTATTGAAATCAGTCAACTCGGTTAGGGTTAGCAGGGACGCCGGTGAGAGTCTGGCGCCAAACCAAGTGACTTGGCTCGAAGACAGTTTGTTGCCCCTGGGGTCAAGTGTTTCTTCGGAGGGTGTATACTCTCTGGTTGGTGTATACATGCGGTAACAATCTCTCCCTTCCGCCGCCCCCCCCCCCCCCCTCTTTTCAAAGGTTCATGGTTGCCAACACCCTCATCTCCTGGTTGGCTCTGCAATACGCCCTCGACCTGGCAGCCCTGCGAGTCGAGCTCCTGAGCCAACCACGGTGTTCCCTTACGTCAATGATCAGACGTCGGAGGAGGTTGGCCAGACACTTCGCGTTCCCGTTGCTTCTCTGGGGCTGCAACACCGCCGTGGGCTTCACGGTGGCGCTTCGACAGTCCATGCACTCCGTCAACAACCCCGAAGACTTGTCAGCACTCCTCCTCTTCTCCCTCTTCCAGGTGAGTTGCGCGGGAGGCGTGAATCTCGAAATTCCGCGAGCTCTGCTTCTGACCGGTTGCTCTCCGTTGAAGTGGTAATCCTCCGTGGATTCTATATACAAGGGACTTTCAACATGGTGCCTGGAACGCGTCTCCGACTAATGTGTTTACCGCCCCCCCCCCCCCCCCCCCCCTTCCCGGAAACATGGCCCCTCAATTTCCGCCTGATGACGTCATCACAAGGAGAACCGTCAGGATGGTAAAACCCGACAGAATGGCACTCCGGCTTCTGTGACTTCATTTGTTTCCACTTCAGGACTCCTTTCGATGACTGAGCAGAATAGGACCCTAAACACGCTAGTCAAAGACGCGATCCAGGCACCGTGGTTAAACTAACAATTTGTCGATCTTCGGAACTCTTGGAGACCCGTACACTTTCTCGTCCCAGATGGTTCACAGCGTGTGGACCCTGGCCCTGGTGGCCTGGGCAGCCGAGGCCTTCGAGGGAAGCCTGGCCAGCGCGGTCCGGGCGCGGATGCCCGCGTGTGGCGGACACGACATGGCACCGCTGTTGCGCGACTACTCCGATGCCCTGGGTTTCTTCAAACCCGACGGCCGGTGCCTGGCGCGTCTGCTGGCTGCCTCGCTCGGCTACGGCGTCGTCCTCTACCAACTCACCGTTCCTTACGCGGCGTCAACCCGAAGCCAGAAGAATTCAACGGAACATGCGTCGTTCGGGCCTCGCTACAGTTAGGCGCAGCTACCAGGGCCCTACTGATATTCTCCTCATCTTTGGGCGATGAAAGCATGGCATCGCGATGCCATACCAGGACACTCCAGTCACCGGCAATCTAAAAACGCAGGGCGCCGCGATTCCCGACAGTTTCACTGACGCTCCTTAATCAATGAAATTGCACAAATATGTAATTGAATAAATACACGTGTATTCAATACACTCTAAGACGTTTGGAGCGTCTACTTTCCCCCAAAGCACTTAGAAGGGTCAATCGCTGATATATACGAAAGAAGCTTGGTGAACGACGAGGTTCAAAAATATTTTTGACCTAGAAATGGCAGTCAGTCATCGCTGTGACACTGAGCGTGGCGAGACGACGTGCTGAGACTAACAACCCAGACTATTTATATATATATATATTGTGAGGGGGATAAAGATATATATATATATGTATATATATAGTATATGTTCGTGCTGTGCAAACGCTCTGAATCAAGTCTATTAAGCATGCATACATGACCCTCTTTGAGAATCCAACTGTCAGAGTACTACAACTGAACTTTGAAAGCCGAAGTGTGTCACGTTCCTCAGTCTCACGTTTGGACATGTCCGTTTCTTGCACCACGTCATTATCGTAATGCCCTCCGTAAAATCGCTCTGACAGCTTTAGGGTGTTAACCCAAGGCGAGCTGATTTACCCTTCCAAAGAGATATCACGGTAGAAGAGCCTATGTATTTGCTATATGGCAACTTTTTGTCCTTAGTTCTGGGAAACTACTGAATCTATTGGGGTCGGAGTGGTCGTATTCGAAAGATAATAAAAACACTTAACAGTTTCGCAAAATTACATTTTTCGGTTTTGTGTTCATAAATCGTTTACGGGACCGATACTTTTTATTTTAGATGCGGAGCATCTCTTGCTCGGGTCTATGTCCCGCGGCGTCATAGTCCGCACTCACACTACGCATGCGCAACTCTCCTCGCTGCGCGTGCGTTCTCTCTCTCTCCAACAGCTGCGCGAAGTGCACGCAGCTACCAGCTGCGTCCTTCTCTCAAACAGCTGCGCGTGCGTTCGCTTCTACTCACACCGCGCGCGCAGGCGCAACTCTCCTCATCTAGTTTCCTCTCCTTCAAGTGTGAATATAAGCAGCGGTAGCGCGCAGCGCGCGTTGAAGGGGAGGAAGTGGCCGAGTGGGCTAACGCGTCTCAGCTCGGAGCGTCTCAGCTCCAGCTTGGGCTGGGAACCTCCTGGGTTCGAGTCCCCGCTTCCCCCGTCCGTTTCGATCTGGATGAGTTTCGTACCGGAACGCGTTCGTGTGATCACTACTGCGTGATGCACGTTAAAAACCCCAGGTTAGCGGTTGTACTGCGCTGGCTAAATTTCTCATCTACAGCTAAGAGACCGATTACCCGTTGAGGCGCATCTCCCTCAAGGCTGTATAAACATAAAGAGCAAACCAATTTCTGCGCGCGTTCAGTTCACCGCTGTTGACTCCACTTCACTCCGTTCTTCCGATGAAGTGTGATGGAACGATGCTCCGCATCACCCCATGGGTCCCCTTGGGAAGATGGTGTAATTTTTTTTTTAGCTTCCTTTAGGAGTCCAAGCAATTAAATTAAACGATAAGTACAAATCGTGCTGTCGCTTTACAGTGTAAGCAGCATTTGTGAATCTATATCTATTAACAAATTTACTCGGCACATTGTACTTACAAAATTAATTGAGGAAGTTTGCGCTACGGTGAAATCCCCCGTGATCGTGTTCACTAAATTCCACTTAAGAGTGATGAATGAGTCCGTACAGGGCCGTATTTGTCTGCCGCGAGAATAGACCGATCTCACCAGCCAGTTTGACTACGCCACCGCTGCCGCAATGTGTCGAGGGAACTTTAGTCTTTCTGCACGTGCGACAACTTCGCTGGAGCTCAGCGCGTGCAGGGCACGAACAGTCTCGTGCACTGCCGATGGCCTCCTGTGAACTATAGTTATGGCTGCCTCGCGCATGCGTCGAACGCTTGGTGAGATCGGTCTATTTCCTGCTGCATGCTCGATGGTGTGGTTCCCTTATATTCAAGCGTCTAGAATGTGCGTTTTATAGACGTTTTAACAAAAAGGCTCCCGGCCGTTTTCATTTTCAGTATTCGTGCGTATGGAGCGTGAGTTTCTCGCGTTCCGAAGCGACGAACAGGCGCTTGCTGCCCAGACAACACCCGACATCCACAGGACGCCCTCAAAAGGTACAAACGTCCTCACGGTTTTCAAGACGTCCTCAGGACATCCCGAGAACGTCAGTCGCTGGATCATCCTACAAACATCCTTCTGAGGACTTATTGAGGACGAAGGATACAAAGTAGAGGTAATATAAGCGTCCTCAATTTGATTGTGTTTTTAAAACAAAAAATTAATGAAATGGCGGTAGTATACACAGTTCATGTTTACTGCTAAACTAAATTTCACAAACAAATTATTACATGTAGTTATGTACGTTTAGGACACCTTTTAACTATAGTTTTGATCAAACGATTCTTTAATAAAACCGGGACGCACTACAATTATATTTAGTTTTGTGTTTGCGCAGTATTTCGGATTTGAGTTCCATTGGCAAGATTCAATCTAGGTGGCGCAAGCTACCGCCTACTACACGGCGTACCGTTATTGCAATTATCCACCCATCTGAGAGACCCGAGCAAGCTAAGCCAAGCCAGGACAGAAACAGAAATAGCCTTGAGGTTGTTGATGGCTTGATAATGTGGATGCTTGGGCTAGTTGGTAATTCATGCTTGGATGGAACAGCGCGGAGACAGTCACACCCACAGGCACACAAGAAGGAAACAGACTCGCAGCGCTGACTTACAACTCAGTAATATATTTCTTCTTCCTCAAATCGTCGTCATCTTCTTCGCCGTTAATGAGAGTATTTTAAAATTTTAAACACCAGAAACCAAATAGCCAATAAACATTAATAAATGAACAATAAATAAATGACAACTAAGAATAAATAAAACTAAAAAATGTTTCAAAAATTAAAAAATGTAAGTTTAGTTTTTTAATTGATTTATTATCTAAAAATATATTTTTTTTGTTTTACTTATTTCAGTAGTCATACATTTATTAATTACTTATTAATAGTTATTGGCTTTTTGGTCTCTGGTGTTTAAAAATTTAAAATGTTCTCATTATCGGCGAAGGAGAAGAAGACGATTTGAGGAAGAAGAAATATATCACTGAATCTATCTTGGGATGAAAGAAAAAGAACGCTTTTGGTATGAAGGATTCTCAATCTTGTTATATTTTCTAACCCTTGACTTAATAAGAGCGTCTATGTAATCCAATACATTCTTTTTAGCTGCATCAGTTCACTGGCCTTGGTGGCAGATCCATGGGGTCTGCCACCGGGAACAGCCAGAAAGTGGCTGTCAATTTCAGCTGGGTAGGAGCTAGGTTCGACATTGTACATGTACCTTTTTTTAGTACACGGAAGTGACGTCATCACGTCTGATTGGTTGGAAACAAAAGTGACGTAATTTCCCTAGAAAAATGTGGGCGGAGTCGGCAAAACTGGGCGGAGTCGGCTACCGGACGTGACAACAAAATGACGTTTCGTTTTGTACCGAGTACGTTTCAAAAGGTACTTGCTCGGAACTAGGTGTCATTGGTAGCATGTGTTCGGCGGCGAGGCGTCGCCGTCTTGTCAATTCGTCTTTTTCTTTAACAGAGCTTTTTTTTTCGCCAGAAAGGCTGTATCGGGAACACCGCGATGCATTCGAGCTCGCGGAGGAGATCTTTTGGAAGCAATACCGCCTGCCCAAGATCGTGGTGCGGTGGTTGTGCGACGAACTTCGCGAGGAACCGGAGGTGAGGAGAGTGCGTACCTCGTGAACGGTCATGACTGTGGAGCTTCAAGTGTTGTGTGCACTGCACTTCTACGGCACGGGGAGCTTCCAAGGCATGGTGGCGAGCGACGAACACGTAGCGCGGGACCAAAAGACAGTCAGCGTTGCGGTCCGCGCCGTGTCCGTCGCTATGGTGCGTCGTCTCGGGGTCCAGCGTGGCTGGATCCACTTCCCCGAGACGCCGAGCGAGAGGTTCGACGCGGAGAAGGGCTTCAGGCTGCTCGGCAGGATACCCGGCGTCATCGGTTGCGTGGACGGGACCATGGTCTCCATCGTCGGCCCGTCCAAGAACGACCCCACCGTCACGAAGGCGGCGTACTGGTGCCGCAAGTACTTCTACGCCCTCAACGTGATGGTGGTAAGTACACTCATGTTACGTTGTCAAAACGCGCCCCAAATCTGTAGAAAAAAAAAACGTATTGCCGATACCGTTTAAGTATGCCGTTTTATGACTGCGGGCTGTGGGGTCTCACGACTGCGCGAGCGTGTGCTCTACGTAGCATGTGAGCCGTGAGACTCTTCTCCCAAAAATAATATTTGTCTGTTAAAACGTGCAAGCTTCCGTAAAAAAAAAAAAAACACACATTATTTTTGTTTCAAGGTAGTTAGTTGCACCTTGCATCCAGGAAGGTGTGTTGACATGCATGTGTCAGACAAAATAACTTAAAAGGTTCTGAAATTGCGACTGCTTTGTGAACCATAAGTACAATCTACTACTTGTGGATTCAGGTAATTACATGTCAATATCTCTCTCACTTTCAGGTGTGTGACGCCGACTGCCGGATAATGTGTATCGACCCACGGTATCCCGGGTCGGTGCGCGACTCCTTCGTGTGGCAATTTTCCTGGCTCCGAAACCAACTCGAGCAAGGGCAGGTGCCACGCGACGGCCGGTTCCTGCTAGGTGAGCATATTAATTCATTCCTTACGCACACGGTGGCTCCCACTGCTTGAAAGCCACAGTACCACACGTACTGTGCTTGTTGTGAGGCACACAGACACAGTTGCTGGAACCCCTTGAAGTGAGACAACACCCAAAGTTTTTATTTTTATTTATTTATTTACAATACTGTGAACCTTACGGTCAACACAGGAGAGAAAAATAAGTTGTACAAGCCAAGCAAAATGCATTCACACTCAAGTGAGCACTTATGCACATGCAGTGGTGCGTCCCACCCTGCACATTAATCTCTGTTTATGTCCACATAACTCTCACACTCTGCAGGCTACGAAAGCCACACTACACCAATCTCACGACAGTGATAGACTATGCGAGGAATGCGATCGCAGTGCGAGTCGCTGTCCGGTTCGGCCCACTCACTGTTACTGTCT